GTCAGTGTTGGTGAGAGGCGAGATTATGAGAAAAAGTTCACCATTAAGCTTTTTGGTGAGAAGTGGAAATTGTGAGTGAGAAATTTAACGTATATTCGTTTGAGAAAGAATTATATATATATATTTTTTGTATTGAGTCAATGTAATTATACTGAGCTTCATATGTTAACACAAGATATAACAGCCAACATTCAAATGACCTAACTTAACCTAACTAACCAAACCTATCCTAACTTAACCCAATCCAATCTAGTCTTTCCTAACACAAACCTAATCCAACCCAAGCTAAGTCAATCTATCCTAACCTAACCATACAATCAGTACAGCCAGCGTAGATTGTTGATGTTGTAATTCTTGTTGTTGTTGTTTTTTAGTGTCCAGGGGTTATTGAAGGCTGGTCTTAAGACTTTATATACTCAACAGACACGTTTTGGACATTTACGGGCATGTGTCATCTCCCCTAACCCCTGAGACACCCCCTGAGACACCCCTGAGATATCCTTGAACCCCTGAGAATTCCCTGAACCCTTGATACCCCCATAACACCACTAACTAACTCGGGGTAAGCACTGCCCTTATACTGGAGTGGCGGTATTGAATCATAACCACCTGACTGTATTTTCTTTTTCGACAGGCAGCGGACTGTGGAGGGAGTGACTGTCCGGGTCCAGTCAGCAGATGTGAGTGTGGTGGTTGGTGTCCGACACACACACACACACACACAGTCTATAGCGGCTGTGGAGGAGAAGAGAGAGACAGTCAGCCACACACCAGTCACCAGACGGTGGTTGTGAAGTGGTGTGGTCAAAACAAAACAGTTAGTGATAGTTCTGTCTCGTGTACTCCAAAAAAAAAAACTTTAAGAAGAAGAAAAAGACAATTACGAACTATGATTAATCTTCATCGTGTGCGCCATAACTAAGGACTTTATTATACCTTGGTGCTGTGATAACCATCCTCCTCAACCACCTTTCCCCTCGGTGTTTTGATCTTCACGTGACCTGGAACACACCTGAGACAAGAGCCATTTTGATCTTCACGTGACCTGGAACACACCTGAGACAAGAGCCAGTTTGATCTTCACGTGACCTGGAACACACCTGAGACAAGAGCCATTTTGATCTTCACGTGACCTGGAACACACCTGAGACAAGAGCCATTTTGATCTTCACGTGACCTGGAACACACCTGAGACAAGAGCCACTTTGACCCTCACGTGACCTGGAACACACCTGAGACAAGAGCCATTTTGACCCTCACGTGACCTGGAACACAAGAGCCATGGCCAACAGAGAAATCAACATCCGAATCCCCATCCCCAACTTCAACGCCATCTGTTGCTGGGCTCCGGAGAAGACAGGTTAGTTATCCCACTATCTCTGTGTCTATATGCTTGTCTAACCTGTCTGTGTCTGTCTGTCCGTCTTTTTCCGTTTGTCTCTGTCTCTCTCTATTCTCTCTCTCTCTCTCTCTCTCTCTCTCTATAGTGTCTGTTTCTTTACTTACTATACTACCAAAAACAGATCCTTGGAAGCGTTTAAGAATCCCCTTGTGTCTTCTCTTCTGCGTCTACTCCTGTTCTTATATTTTTGCAAAGATAATTTATGAAGTATTTTTGTGTAAGTCATTGATAATTATAAGTATTTAATTTCCTGGTATAATGACAAAATCAAGAGGGGTCGTGAAATAATGGTCTATGTTACTAAAATCACTAAAAACAAAGTAATTAAATTGGTTTTTGTTACTATTAGTACTGTAACAATATATCATAAAACGCCTGTCCCATTTGTCGCCCGAGGAAAGAAGCAGGACAAACACTGGGCAGACACAAGCTTCAGATTTCAGATTACCCCCCCCCCCCTAGTTTATTGAACACCTCCTTATACATCCGTGCAAAGAGATCTCTATGAAGCCCAGACGAAGCATTTATTTTTTTTGACCCGTGTGTCACAGGGTAAACACTACACTATGACAGGTAGGCTAATACTCGTGGTGCAGTGTTAGGTTATAGTACAGTAAAAAGACAAATAGAAAAAAATATGTTTTCAGTTCGTGTGTGAGTTTGTGTGTGTGTGTGTGTGTGTGTGTGTGTGTGTGTGTGTGTGTGTACGTGCTTAAAGTTTCTCGTTTCAGAACCTCACAATACAGAATTAGTTTGTTACACCTAACTTGAGATGCAAGACACACTCAGCCTAACCTAACCTACACTAACCATAACCTAACCTAACCTAACTGGACACACACACAGGAGGTATAACAATGTTTAGCTACGGTAGTCTCAGAGCACTGTAGGTGTCATCTAGCTCAGTCTCCACGCTGGGTCGTAACGGAGCCACCCAGATGTTTTCTCATCCCACCGTCACCACTTACGAGCACAACTAACCGTAAGAACCTAGTTTAAACATTGAGGAACAAGTCACATTTTGTGGATGGTGTTGATTTTTATGATTCCACTCACCTGGCCACAGTGGTTGGTAATAACAATCTGTAATCATGATATAGTCTGTATGTAATGATATAACTTTGTAGATTCTACTTTTCCACCAATTTTCAACGGAATATTTTACGTCACTTGATAAAAAAAATAGTGTACATAGGAAGATGATGTACATGTACCAATTTGATTTAATTTATACGTGATTTTTTACCCAGTTGCGGCTCTTTCATTAATAAATATGTCCCTCATTCTGAAAGGTTCGTATGTTCAAAAAATTCTCGTAAAACTTAGTATAAAACGTATCTAAATAGTTGACTCATGCTTCAGTGTTTGGATCACCTGAAGATTAGCCCTCCCACCTTATGTCACATGATTAAAGCGAGGATTCCATTCACGAGTTAGCGGTTGCCTTAGCGTTAGCGCCAAGAATAGATCACATTGAAATGTACACGGTTGTTTCCACTGTCACGGTAGCGTTAGCGTTATGCGTTTGCAGTAAACGCCAATCGCTCCCTGTAGCGATTAAAAACGCAAACGCACTGCAAACGCGTGAATGGAATCCTTGCTTAACACCCAATCTGCGGGGGTTAGATTAGGTTAGGTTAAACGTTAGGATGTTTAATCTTCAGGTTGCTAGGCCCAATAAGAAATTTAGAAACTTTATCTAGAGACCAAGGTGGGATTCTCTTAGGCCGAGCGGGTCTCTGAATGAAGAAGGATGATCTGATCATTTGATAAATTCTTGGGTTCAAAGTAATATTAAAACCCCACGCCAGAGGGTCAACCAATGCTGATTTGTAAGATGCATTTGTAGATCCTTGAAGGCCTTTAACTCTGAACTATATATATATATATATATATATATATATATATATATATATATATATATATATATATATATATATATATATATATATATATAAATGTGGTGCGTGTGTGTGTGTGTGTGTGTGTGTATCTTTTTATCTACCTATATGTGCTTATATCTATATTTGTCTACAATACTTCTATATATCTATCTATCACCAGTAACGGGAGAAATCATGGCCAGGCTCCTTGCCACACTGAACCCTGGGGCATAATAGTTACTGTACCCACATGAACATACTGTGTGGTGCGTACTGTCTCTTGCACTGGTAATAGCTGATGAACATTTTGTAACATTTAACTATCACGTCTATCTCCATCTCTCTCTTTCTGAGCATCCTACGACGTTGGCAACAGCGATGATGTCACTCATGAAAGTTGCCAGCTAGTATGATTCACGAGTGACGCACTCTTGCACCATGTTAGTGCACAGGCACAGAGGGCAGCACCCTCCTTTCCATCTTTGTATGTATATACAGTATGTGTATACAGTATATACAGATGGGAGAGAGCCTGGATATGCTTCTCTTGGGCCACACATACATTATATCTCCTATCGTCCATTTGTCAATATTGATTTAAATAGTAATCTAAATATATTGAGATTTAAATCTCCTAAATTCAATTAGAATTCAATAGTATGGATCTGCAACTCCTAGTAATCAGAACGCGTCCGTGCCTGGACCATTGTAAGAGGGAGGAAATGGAACAGGAAGCTTTCTTTCCTCGAGTTAGTTGAGTATACGGCCAGTCAAAATGTCACTGATATGACTATTGTATGTGTGCACAAATACTAAACTTACGCAACAACTTCATACATAGTTGTAGACCTAAGTAATTCTGGGAGGTCATAAGTCAGCAGTGGTCTGTGTCAAAGGTCACTAGTACTAACGCGACATTAAAAAAATCTATTTTGTTCACATATTTTCTACTTTGACATGTCACTGTAAATTTGCTAGCAGGATGAAAAAGAAAAGTATTCATTATAAACATCACATGTAGATTAGGTACCCCAGCTTATTTACCTGGTGATTAAACACGCTAACACTACCTGTGGGGTTTGGTTAGGTTAGGCTGGGTTCGGTCAGGTTATCATTGGGGTGTTTAGTTAATCATCGAGTGAAAGAAGCCTGGATGCCTAACCTTCTCGTGTGAATAACTAGAGAGGTCAAACCGCATGCATACGACGTAATACAGAATATGGCCAAAAAGTCGTAACAATAGCGATTGTCCAACTACCAATATAGATAATTCTTGTTGACTTAAACCCAAACTCAACACAACATCCAAAAGTAACTTCAGAATTACACTGAGACTTTAAGGGCACTGTCTAGGTTCATTACATACCTGTAAAACAATGTGGGGTTGTATAATGATTTTACTAAATTATATATGTAGTTACCTATCTATTTAACAATCTTTGTGTATGTGAGAAAAGATAATCTGGTATGCATTCTTGTCGCCACGCCGTGTATTGTAGAGCTAAATCTATACAAATTCTTACATCTGGGAATAAAGTTAATGATAAAAAAGTTTTTAAAACGAATACATAGAATAAAATAGGGAGGATAAAGTTATTTTAATAAATATTTCTATTGATGTGTGAGTTAAGATAAAACTTTTCCCTTAACATAGGAATCACTATAAGTACACTTTACACCAAAATATGTATTTGTACTTGGTTTTTGTGAATAAAATTGAGATAATATACAGTTTTAAAGTGAGCGCGCGTCACTTGTCTGCGGTGGAGGATTGTGGGAGTGACGTCACGCATTCCTCGCCCCGACCCCCCAAAGGTGTGGCCCAGCAGCCATATTGAATCCGGCCGCGTCGCCCTCCCCAATATTTCGAGGTACAGCGGGAAGCCCTTGGTGTGTGTGGGGTTGGGGCTTGGGAAGGGATAGAGAAGTGAGGTGCAAGAAGGTGTTGAGTAGGTTGGGGCACGCGGGGAAAGTGTATTAGCTCTAGAAATCACGAGTTAAAACTGATCACCCGAAGAAGTCAGTTGTGAGCTGCCAGTGACCTGTTGGACTCTGGGTCTTGTGAGGTTGTGGTGATAGCTGGGTGAGGTGTAAGGCGGTGCATTAGACCAGGTGATACTGTCCGGTGAACATTAAGGAGGGTTTTGAAGAAATTATGAGCAGGAGAGGTGTGTGAGATACAGTAGAAGGTAGTGTTGGGCGGGGCGTCAACCGTTGTCTCTTTAAGATGTGACCAGCTTCTCCCTCACTCACTCCTCTACTATTTCTCATTCATACCCAAAGTGATGTTTTAACTTGGAAATAATTGTCTTAAACCAGTTGTGGAGTTTTTTGTGTTACGTTGTTGTATTCAGTATCGTATTATGTATGTCATAATTTTCTATAATTGTTCTTATATACCGAGTGTTGGTTGATGATAAAAGCCATTTTTCTCTTTACCAACTTTACCAACAGTGAAGTGATGTCTGTAGTTGTTATTATTGTTATTGTTAATATTATGATGATCTACAGACATATTCAATGTATTTTTTTTTTATAATGTCTTGATTCATGTCAGTATTTGGTGCAGGGTTGTGACCTGTGTTGGGATAATTCACTAGTACTGGAGTGTGGTGTTCTGGGAGTGTTTAATGACTGTACAGTAGTTAGAGACCCTCCCCTTCAATCAGGTTGTGATCGGTACAAGTGTTTTAGTTCATTAAAAGTTCATTAAAAGTCACTTGACCATTGGGATTGTTAAGTAAAGTCCACTCATATAGAGGCAAGGTAGTTATTTAGTTGTCATGCAAGTTCATATTAGCTAAATCAGTCGTTTGGTCTTGAGACATTTGTAAACAGTATGTCATTATAACCAAGGATGACCCAAGAAAAATATTAGAACCTTATTTCCATTGAAGTTTTTAATTTATAGAACCTTTCCATGGGAGGAACTTGGTGTGGGTATGGTTAGTGTTGTCACCCGAACATGTCGTAAATAATAATAATAACTCGGTAAACCTGAGGTCCTTAGCAACTAGTGTACCTTGGGATCCAGGATATAGTTACTTTGGGGCCCAGGTTATAGTGGTCCTAATTTTATCAGATTTAGTTTTAGTGAGAGGTTATTTCATACAGCAGTGCCATACGGGGTGTGCCTATTTCGTCACCAACCCGTTTCGTCACCACTGTTTTTACAATATACACGATGTACAATAGTAAATATATGCTTTACTTTGACCTCAGACCACATACATATAATGTACATTACTGTACAGTGGTATTTCATAATATTTGTTATATTGATAAGACAACCATATTTATTGCATATTCTTCCTCGTATCACAGGAACTGCCATCACCTGGCTTTTTGTAGGGTTAATGTACATTTGTGACCTAAGACACACACGCACTATTGAGTAGGAGTGGTATACATGGTCATTTATCTGTTTTATGGCTAAATGCCAAGCAAGTTTTTATTTTAGAAGGTTGTTTTCCCATGAGGACACATAGTAGGGTAGGACTTTGAAATGGTGTTTCCAAATTGTGAATGATATATCTCAGAACAGATTGAGCACGAGTTTTGATCTTTGCACTGTGCAGTAGATTCACATGTACAGTACAGTATAGTGTTGCCTTGTGTAGACTTTAAGATGAACTCAGCATTAATGTATACTGTATTCCTTATTATTTGGGGATGTTATAGTCTCCATAGTTCTCTCAGGTCACCAGTCATTGCTGGGAATTTCTTTTGTTTTATAGATAAACAAGTCAGTCATTTCTTTGTTTTCCCTGGTGATACTATTGTCTTACTGAAGTTATGGTGTAGGTGAAGCAAATGGCAGCAGTCTCGATAACTGATTTATGAGAAGGAGCAACTTTCAGAAAAAAATGAAGTGTTTCTTACCTCGAAAGTCAAAAAATGGGGAGAAATTGCAACTTTGTACTTTTGTTTTCCTCTATTTCTTGTTAAGCCACCCGGACGCTATATTAGGTTAAACTGTTGACAGGCGATCAGTTACCGAATACTTCCCAGGAAACTTTCCATACAAACTGTTAACATAATACTGTAACACCATAAGCAACCTGCTTAATCTAACCTAAAATAGTGCACTTCCTTCCTAGGATAGGTATGTTAGGTATGGTTGGTTGGTTTTTCTTATTTTTTATTATCTCTTATTTTTCACACCTGTTTGATAGAGTAAATATATTATATAGGAAAATCTGTACTGTATACTGTGTTAGCATAGTACTGTATAAACACCTTGTTGATTACCGTATCGTGAAAACTGATCATGCAAAGCCGAGGCCAACTCTAGGGTTAAATTAGTAGTACAATTCAGAACTACATGTGAAACTAATATCATTTATATTCATTTTCAGGGCCCATTTTATTTATCTAAAAAAAAATTCTTGTTTGCAGAATTCATGGCAGCCATACGGAAAAAATTAGTGATAGTTGGGGACGGTGCATGTGGTAAAACATGCCTCCTTATAGTATTCTCCAAGGACCAATTCCCAGAGGTCTATGTGCCCACAGTATTTGAAAATTATGTAGCTGATATTGAGGTTGACGGCAAACAGGTAAGTCAGTCTATAGTTTTATATTCTATTTTTTGTTTTTAACTCTGATTTAGTGCTCCTCCATCGGGATAAGCCAATGTGGTGCAGCATTCAGAAATTTTTTGTGAAACAAACTGTAAATGTGTAGTGAACCAACTCGGCTTTTTTGGATGATATATAAATTAATAATAAGATACAGTATTAGATGAAAGGTAAAAAATGAGTGTTATTTAGGTATTGGCTATTTTCAGTTACTGTATTAGAATTTCAAATAAACAAGGTCCTATTGTTTTATCCTATTAAGTACTTGTATCATCCGCTCCTACATAACTCCCAGCTTATTGATTGTCGACTCTACTTAGGAACAAATAATTCTGTTACAGCTAACTGAAATATTGTTAATCAGCCATCAGTAGTAATTTAACATGCCATTACTCTTTAACTACCATACTAAATACTTGCTTCACAAAATCATGATGCTGTTGTTCTTGGTCTCTTCATAGATGCTAATTTTTTTACTGTAATTCACGTTGAGGAGGGCAGGGCAGTGCTGGATCATAAAGAATAAAACATGGTTCACAGAGAAGCAATTAAACCTTAAATACACAGTACTGGTGAAGTTTTAGTGTTAGAGGGATGTTTGGGGTATTGGGAGGTTATACTGTATTATTATTATAATTATTTTTTTTTAATGCAATAGGCTGTGTCAGTACTGTATGTCAAGACTGCACGTGTCTGCACTTGTATGTGTAATTGTCTTCTCTTCGATATTATGGAGTTTATCTCCACCCAGATCTATGTACAGTCACCCAAAAAAGTCCTGTCGCGAACCACGATTCAGACTCGTGAACCCAAAGCAGTAGACATACATTATTCTGTCCATAAATGCTTAGTGATTGTTATTTAATGGCAAATCAGTTTTCTTTTGCATTGAGTGGTGATAAAAAACTTCAATTCAATGAAGCTTGTTTCTGTTTTGTTTTGCAGGTTGAGCTGGCATTATGGGACACAGCAGGCCAAGAAGATTATGACAGACTGCGTCCCCTTTCTTATCCCGACACTGATGTCATACTTATGTGCTTCTCCATCGACTCTCCAGACTCCTTAGAAAACATCCCAGAAAAGTGGACACCAGAAGTCAAACATTTCTGTCCAAATGTTCCAATAATTCTAGTAGGAAACAAAAAGGTATGTATAGTACAGTGGTTTAGTAGCATATCACATTCCTACTCCATTGTGCATTTCTTTGTTTTTTGTCTTTTATCAACCATCACTATAGTTACGGTGATTAATTTAAAATTAACAACTTATTATTTGTATGTCTGGTGCAGAATAGTGCAAAGTCAGTCACATGAAAATATATTATCCCTGGCATAAAATATCTTCGTTTCAATGGTGAAGACTGTATAATACTGTAGTACCGTAATAAGAGTGAATAACCTTTGGTACCCAAAGAATGCATTTGTTTCGTGGCTTAAATCATGTTGGTAATCGGGATTTTATTTTATATATTTTTGTATATAATGGAAGCATCTTGAAGAACTGCAGAGCAATTGACTGTCTTTTACTGAGGCATATTGTAGTGTAGTTAATGTGAAACCTTAGTTTCATGAAGTTAAGAGGTAACACTTTTTATTGCAGGATCTACGAAATGATGCTACAACCATTAAGGAACTCCAGAAGATGAAGCAAGAACCAGTGAAGCCCGAGGAGGGACGAAACATGGCTGAGAAGATCAATGCCTTTGCTTACTTGGAGTGTTCGGCCAAGACCAAGGAGGGAGTTAGGGAGGTGTTTGAAACTGCTACCAAGGCTGCACTGTCAGTCAGGATTAAGAAAAAGGCTAAATGCACCCTTTTGTAAAGGTTAGTTGAGCATGAAGTGTCCTCATAGTGAAAGGGATAATTTATTTTGGGAAAGTATGGCTACTGTTACTGAATTATTGAAATTGTCAAATGAAGATAGCCCTCGAGTTCAATGGGTTGCAGTGACCAAATAGATACACTGCCTGGCTCCTGCCATAAGGGTCACTGGATCTTGCCTAGGCCACGCTCATTCACACAGCTTTGAATGGGTACTTGGCTACACAGTTGGGGAAATGAAAGACCATCAAGTGCAATACTAGCCATACTACCTCAGTGAAAAAGAAAAGAAAAAAGGGCTGTCTAAAGAGTGCTGTATCTACTCTGCTCCTTTGTTACTCCCCTTTTACTTTAAATCTGCCGGTGGAACATCTTACTTCTGCAGTCCTTAACGCTTGGAGTTTTCATACACAAAATTGTGTATGGTATAAATTATCGCTTTAGGGTTTTCATATGTGAAGCCAAAAATAAAAATAAAATAGTGTTTTCATATGAACTCTGGATATGAAAGTCACATATTTGGGAATGTTGGTGCTATCTGGCAACTAGACTGCACTCCAAGGTTACCACACCAGTATTTAAAGGACCCAGGATATAACCTTGACCCACATTTCCCATGCATTTTCTTCTCATGCATCACAGTGATTTAATTTATTCATAACAGTGTTGTGATTGTTTTGAACCATGTCTTGTGTTGCTGGCGAGGGTGGAAAAGTGTAAAACGCATAAGGAGATTGCACCACTTGGTGATAGTGTGATGCCTCCCGATCCTTCTCATAGTGTCCCTAGCCTTTCTAGCACAAGTGATAGTTTGTCTGGCTCTTCAATAAGCAGTCCTAGTGTTATGGATCAATATGTAAATTTTTTTTTTTTTTTTGTGCCCGGAGGGGAAAAATGAATATTTTGTACTTGGCCTGGCCGCACTCATCAGAATACAAAATTTACACTGCTAGTACCTAGCCAAATATTAATTTTTTCATAACTTTTTTTTCTATATCTATTTTTTGCTAAATATGTATGTTCATGACTGAATAAGCTTTACATGAAATATTGAATATATAAAGTGATGTACAGTATACAGTAAACGTTTTCATTAAGCGTAAACAAAAATGTTGTGTTCTACACGTATCTACGTCTATAAATAAATATTTTATCGCGATTACCCATCGCTTCTAATTAAATAATTTTTATCTTTACAGAGTATTAATAATGAAATGAGAAAGGAATGTACAACGCAGTCTGCCAGAATGCTACCTGGAGGCCAACAATTGTACTGGCTCCCCTCGCCTCGCCTTCCTTTGTAGTGCCTCGGCTCGGTCATTCTTCCAGGGATCCAGAGTGACCAAAGGCCGTGTTCACTGTTTTATCCCATTTAGTCCTACAACATCCACACACCAAGTCAGCGGCATAACAGTATTGTCGACAGACGCCTTTAATATGGAAATACCCAAGGTTATTAGGATACTGTTTTACTTTTGATTCCAAGAGTTTTAAAATACCTTGGAAAGTGTATAATAGTTAACTGATAATCCAATGAATGTTATGTGGATATGAAATCACAATTTTCCTGTGTAAGTTATCCAGGAAGGGAGTAGGTTGAGGAGAGGGTGTTTCAGTTCAAATGAGGAGCTATGAAATTAAGGTACTTGAACTGGCTAGATATATATGGATGGGGGAAGAATGCATCAATAGGGTGCATGGGGAGTGTAACATATATGTCTGCCTACAGTAGTGGATGCTTCATACAACTTCGACCAGCCCCATGGTTTTTACGAGGAACCATCTCATGTTGCTATGCACAGTAAAAATATATTGTGATTGCAGGTTATAGATTGATACCTAGAGTTGTGGCATTTTTTAATTTATTTATTTATTTTTTTTTTTTTTTTAATATACAGTATATACATATATGAGTGTGCTACTCGTTTAAATAACATTGTTGGGAGGGTTGGAAGGTGGGTTGTATGCCAGGATGTTCATTACTTACTGTAATGATAGATATTGCATATTCTTAATGTAATATCTACTCATTATTTAGAGTAAAGCTTTTGTATATTGAATAAGGCTCTGATTTAGGGTATGGGGCCAGCTAATCTAGACTGCGTTGGACTAGCAAAATTTACTTTGGTGTCTCATTGATAATACTTTCATTGCGATTGTATAATTATTATTTGTTAACGTAAGTTGTTCTTGTACTCCTTTGTTCTAGTATCTTTCTTGTTTTATTTACAGTAGTCGAAAGATGAAACTGAATTCAAGCTTATTATTTACTTCAATAGTTTACATATCTTAGACAAATTTCATTTCCCTAGCTGCATAAATGACCACTGGTGACTGCAGCATGACCAATGCCAAGTGACTATATTTTTTTTCTTTCATTTGGTAAACTAGACAGTGGCTCTACCTACAGGTCATGTGTAGAGTATTGTCTTTACAAGTGCGCAACTCATCTGCTAAGAAAGGAAACAATACTTTTTGCCACGTGTAGTTAGATTTTCTACTTGGAAATTATTTTGAATTATACAGACTGCTTTCTCTTTAAACATCTTCCAGTAAATTTTGTCAGCTGCTGACTGTTATTAGATGAAAAAAATCACTTCAAGTCATAACTTCAGTGTTTCATATTCTAAGTGTGATTTTTATATTGATTTGTATGTATGTACGTACAATTGCTTGAACCAAGTTTTCTAGTAACTTGCAGCTTGAAAGTATGTACCAGCTCTAAAAGGAACTTCGCTTGGTAGAGCATCTCCAGGCTACTGAGTATATTTGATTACTTGACCTGTACCAGACATTTATTTTAGCAGGCTGAATACTTGAACATCTTTAAAGAATATTATTGTTCAAGTGGTTCTTCTCGTGGGTTGCATAATGTCAGTTTTCAAACGAGATGATAGGAAATATTGGCATATTTCAACTTTTCAGTAGCTTGAAGATTCTCCACCTTATATTGCAAAGTGTTAGCTGAATGGCTTTTCATGTGTATTTGATGCTAAAGTATCTTACAAAGGACTATATAAGTTTATTAACGAATAGCTCTCACATCAACGTACAGCCTGTGTACATCATGTTCAGTTTACCCTTTTGTAATAAATATGTATCCTTTTATGATGTGTGTTGTTCTGATCCAAAATATTGTGAATTTTTCAGTGACAAAAATAGAGGACACAGGAAATAAAGATGAACACAGACAATCAGCCACAAGTCCATCACTAGATTGTTAGTTTCCAGAAATGAGCAAGATGATTCTACTTTCCAGCTATTTAAGTCTAGATTTAAAGTTTAGGCTTCACCGCAATGGAATCTTAGTGGATAAACAGACCAAGGAATAGAAAGTTAGTGAAGCATAGTACATTTATTATGTAGAGTAGTTCCTTGAAACATTGGATGGATGTCAAAGATTGGATCCTTTAGTGATACAGTACAAGATGTAGAAAATAAGGTAGGTGTAGTACTTTAGGGGAGGAATGATTTCAGAAACTTAATACAGGCTTCCAGAAGCTGATGAAAGACTACTTGATGAAGTAAGTGTTTTTCTGGAACTAAGAGAGGCTTTCATTGTGGAGGGAACTTCAAGGTTTGCATTGGGGGAAAATCTCAATTAATTTTTTAACCCAAATTACAGTTCTGTACTTATATCCAGTTATTTTTTTGTATTTTCTGGATATACAGGACTAAGTGGCTAAACAGTAGCTAATATTAAAAAAATCGAATTTGTTCGAAAGCATATTATCGGTGCTCCTCAAACATGTTATTAAACCCCTAGGCTTCGGGTTGTCCTATGACGTGTGTAGAGCTTTGGGTTACGTCACATGATGTTTTGATCTTTCGCGGGCCTGTTTGAATAAAAGTGCGGGCCTGACTAGATGATGTTGCCAAGTACACATTTGTCTTTTACTCACTCGAGAGCCTTCGTCTCTTTCCAGTAGCTTCTCTGCTTTTGTGATGTAGGCATTTTGTCCTTGGACTTGATTTCACCATGTGTTTCTACCACCCCAAGCGTAAGTCTAGTATTGTGATTAATTACTGGAGCAGTAATAGTGATTGTTAAGAGTGTAAATAGTAATAACATAATAAAACAAGTGTCCTGTACCTCATACTGCCTACAAGTTAATGTTGTTTACCTCGTTGCTACTACATCTCGCACACATACGAATATACCATTATACTTTTAAAAAATTTCCCAAAAATGTTTTTAAAGTAATTGTCTCAAATTTTTTTCATAGATTGCATTATCTTGCAAGGGGAGCTTCCAGAAAATTTTCAGTTAACTCCCTCAGTGGTGCTGGTAGGTCTAAATTGTCCCTTTATTTCCTCTCCCACTAATCAAAATTCCAAAGTCGTTGTTGGGAAGCTCATAAAATTCTGCTTCTATAACTATATAATATCAGATGATGCTGGGATCACAAATAAATTTTTCTTTATTCCGAGTGAAAAAAAATCTATTTTTTTTCTGCTGTTAAAGCCAAGACAATAACCAAGTCAGTGATGTGTAAATCATGAGAAAAAAAAATGGGATAAGTTGACCACAACAAATGACAAAGCCCGACGAGTGGTCCCACATGACTTGTCATGGAATCGTTAACTCATTGTGTGCACAAGAGGGATAATTTGAATAATTAATTACTTGTCCTAATGACTTTGAAAAAAGTCCGTTAATTACACAACAGCAATTACCCCCACCTGTAAGTTTTCCATTAATGTAGCTGAAAACCTTTACAGAGTATTTCTAATTCTGAAGGAAAAGGTGTTATGGACCCCCAAATTGTGATAAGGGAACCTACCCTTTATCAAATTAAGTACCCTACTCACAGCTGGGTGAACTGGAGGTGGATGTCCAGAAAGCAATGAGAGAGACTTGGGATAGGAGACAAGCACTTAATTTGCCAAACGCTGAATAGCTATTGGATACCATAGTACAGTGTGTGGTTTTAAGTTTACAAAGTGCAAGATGCAGGAGACTATTCTTCCAAGTATTGTACAGTAATAGGAATTTTGTTTGTGCTGGTAGTACAGTATACCTCACCTTTGAGGTGTGTTCTGTTGTCAAATGATTCGAGGCACAGGTCAGATTCTAGAGATAAGCAGGTGTTGGACAGTTTTCTTTTATCTTGGTAATTTCCACTGAATTTTCCCAAATTGGATTGGAATCGACATGTGCTGCAGAAATGTCCATATATTCACTTCTACATAACACTCATTTATGGTTAAAATTTTCTGTATACATATTGGTATAAAATTTTCTGCCCTTTGGTATACCGGTATACTGTACAGTACTGTACTGTATTTGTTAACAGAACATAGTTAAACCTCTACCAACTAATCACAAAATACCTGCAATTGCATTTATGCTCTTCGTAAATCTCGTTTAATTTCATATCCCCATGTCATTGTACTATACAAAAACACCTAAATTTGCATATTTTTATTACTTTTTTTTAGTTGATACAAAAACTTTTTTTCATCATTCTCCATTCCTGTTACCATAAGCAATGAGGCCACTTAACGTGATGCAAAAATGAAATTAAGTTGTATACAGAAGCACACATACAATGAAGTTTTTTGCATTTTGTCATTTTTGAGCTTTTTTTTTACAAGTAGCTTTCAATAGCAATCATGGTCAACATGATAAGGAAAGCTTTTCAAGTATCTTTTTTGTTACTCAGCAGCTTATGTTTAATGCCACAAATGTCAGGATATTAAGATTGACATGTAATTAATGATGAACAATATCAATGTCCTTACACCTGTCAGCCAAAAAAATTCTAGTTACCTTAAAAATTAAACGTTTTTGTTACAGATTATACTTTGTTCCATTTGGACTTGTTAAACACACAGATGGTCTGCACCAACCTACACAATATTTGTTTAAAAAAAAAAATATATATATACAGGAATTGCTGCATATGTGACCAAAACAAAACTCACACATTATGCATAATGCTCAATAAACATGACCAATGGAAATATGTAAAACTTGCAGCTTGTCGGTCTCACAAAGCAATCCTTTTTTTTTTTTCCATTCATACTGGTGTCTACTATGACTATACAAAAGCTTTGGTGTCTGTTTTTTAACAATATCATAATAAAATGCCACATGAAAAACAAAATTGAGGTGAGAAGAAAAATTTGTGTACAGAGGATGACCATCACAAAATCAGCCAACACAGCTATAGTTACACCTCTCTTCCCAGGAGGAGTAATTCTTGAAAAGCTTTTTGTACCGCCACTTATGCAAGATGTACAATTTAAAGAAAGTAACACATGGGGAGATGTAGTCATGGCTAGTAGATACAAAGTTGGACAGCTACAGGGAGTGACTCGCTAAGTAAAATTCTTTTAATAGTACTGTAATAAAACCAGGAATAATTCAAATAAGTAATATACGAAAAAAGTACACAACATTGGTCCAAAGCTTCCCCATATTTTTAGGACCAGAAGGTGCATCCTTGTACGCATAATAAATTTACCTGATATGCATGTAGTAAGGCTACTCAGCATATGTGAAGTTTCCACTATGGGAAAGTTTCAAGCTACTGTCATGAATCTTCACTGCTCACTACCCACTCTGCAAATATTCATGCCTGCAGATTATTTAGAGCAGATATGAATGTTTGCACATGCCAATAAGGGCACAAAGTTTGAAAATAATAAAATTAAAAACAATGAAAAATATTCATGATTGCAAAGTGTACATACCTAGGCAACAAGGAATATTTTCATACTCTGGGGTAAGAGGGTGTTTGCATTCTAACTTACAGCATTATCTTTTAAATGGTTTTATAGTATTAGGAGTATATTCATGGCACAATTAAGAAGACACAGTGAGTTTTATTGGACATGACACTCTTTAGTTTACCATACATGTCAATCTTGGCTGTTTTGTCAAATATAATAAATTACTATTACAAGGACAAATAAAATAAAAATTGGTTCAAGTTCATTTTCAAAAATTTGATTTCTATTACTTATACTTGATTGCTCAAAAAAAATAAAATAAAAAATCTTTCCACCATTGCACACAATTTACTCAGGGCAGATGAGATGTAGTATACGAGTCACTACAGGAAAATAACCCAGTTTTCCCGTAGATGGGTCATAATCTCAGGTTCACTACAACCAAGCAACAACTTATCAGTCAAACTAATTAATGAGCAATATATATATATATATATATATATATATATATATATATATATATATATATATATATATATATATATATATATATATATATATATATATATATATATAGGCCATTGTTATAATAGGTAAGCAGAGACTAAGGTTTGGAATAATACTCGAGATAATGAGCCATCCTCAGGGGTTATACAGTATAATCAGGTAGGCACAAGACCATTTATCTTTGAGATTACGTCAAAATCATCCATTACCGTCTTCAGCACTGATAAATCTATAGCAATTCCTTAATTATATTACCTAATACTCAAATTATGCATACGTGTCTTTAATTCCCATCTTTCTTTAGTATCCAACTGCCTGAGTATGACAAATGAAATATGTCACTATACAGTAGGTCAAGATGAAGATTAGTAACAACACCGTAGAACAATCTTACAGGTTCCAGTAATAATAATAATAATAATTATTAAAAGTGCTCTTTAGGTCTCGTGTATACAATTATTGTTATCAAAACTGATATTATGGGCTCCAGTAATGCATTAGTTATGATCAGTCAGTTTTAATTGGCATTGAATTCTGAGAGCCATCTAGCAAAAAGACTACAATCCATTCTCCACACAAGCTGAAAATTAAGGTCAATGGGGGCAGGAAGAAAAATCTGCTTAGGTTTCAAGGCTCCTGCTGCCAATAACCTGCAAGTATCAGTATCAAAATGGGCCACAGACATTCACACACTGACCAGTCTAAAAAGTAGTTAAATGGTATATGCTTGGGGGGCAGGCCATGTGAACTGTAAAGAACTAGTAGTATGAAGTCATAGGGCATATACTTATATGGTGTCACATAAGGTTAAACATGGTCAACACAACAGTACCTTCAAGTGCATTTTGTATAAATACGTCTATTTTGCGTATTTATCCCTCTTAGTTGCGTGGGATCACAGACTTGAACACAGCCTTATAGTTGAGGTATAATTATGGAAACTCATTTGCAGTTCATCATCATTTTCCTAGATGAAAGAACAGCAGCTCTGAGTCTCTCTAACCTTTAAACAATTTCGTATATTTTGTTTATCCTACAATATTCTCCCCAGTGTCATGATAAACAGCAAAGGATCTGAAGAATCAATTACTGAATGTGTGCATTAAAATATGAAGAAGTTAGTCCAGAATCTTTTGAAATGGAGCTGCCATACAGAGGGAGTTAATACTACCATTCTGGAACAACGATATCACTTTAACTACTAAATACATTAACTGAATCATGGAACACATTCTAATTCCATTCTATGAATTCATATTTGTTGCAATAGCTGTTCAAAGGTTATAGTTATACATGAAGCCTTCCTGAAGTAAAAAAAACAAACAAAAAAAGAGCTCAAAACTGCTGCCCTAGTCACCTTTCAAAGAGTATCTAGTTATCCTTGGATATATTGGTATCACTTGACTGATTAGCTCCTTCCACAGGCTCTACACTACCTTTCAATACATGCAGTATTACATGTGATTAAACCTAGAATAAAGTTACCACCCCCTAGTAGTGCCTTGTTACAGGCTGCTGAAGGCTAATTGTGTTGCAGCTGAATAAAAGTATTATTTAACATCACTTGCTACTATGCAGGAATGAAACTTTTCAGGTACAGTATAAGTTTAGCTACTACTGGATTACCTTGCCTCATGCTAACCAAGTAAATTATTTATACATCTAATTAAGACTTAAGATTAAATTAGAATGGTGCATAGTAAGTCCTTTAATGAGTAGGTTTATAGGACTAAAATATAAGTAAAAGGGGTGGAGATAAAACTTTGTTCTAGAATCCCACAAAGTATTAACATGCCTTCTTGCCACATTGTGGGTCTAATAAGATCTCTTACAACTGAATGAAGGTGCTAACAGTTCTGTTCAAAGCTGGTCGCCTCTTAATAAGCCATCATACAATTGTTGGCAGAAAGTCGACGAAAATATCCAGGGACAACAAGATTGCCACACCTGTACACTTCTGATGACTGCTTAAATCTTTCTACACTACAATTAATTAATAAAACACTGAAATCTTAAGCAAGGTGGTTAAGTAGTGCTTACATTCATCAATGAAGATCAGATTAAGAAATTTTGATAAGCCATATACACAGTCATATATCATCTGGAGGTTGTTCTGCACTCATAAAATGTTGGCTACTTCTACAATGAAAATGGGATTTGTTAAGCTCAAAGTTGTGACAGTTTAGGTCAAGTTATACAACAGATGTTCACATAACAATCACTCCTTGATGCCACTCATTCATCCGGGAGACAAACATTAGTTACAGTTTGCAAAGTATGACGACCTAGTCTAGAATTAAGCATCACTAAACTACATAAAGATGCTGGGCAAGCAACAAAAGCAAGGGAGGGAAAATTTTTATCACCCTAAGTGGCCTCTCGTAGGAAAACTTGTTGCGAACACATTCGTTATACTCACTCCAACAGTTTCAGCAATACTGGGTTACAACGAGGCTTTCCATTACCTCTTTGTGCCCCATCACCAACAACACCACAACTATTTATTTACTCCTCGATACATAATATATCTTACCCTTTTGCTCTTATCCTCTTCGACAACTCTACACTTCTCTGTTAAGCTCCAACACTGCTGCCATTAGTTTAGGCAATGTTCTTTGTAACTTCAACAATCACTTGAGAGAGAGAGAGAAGAGGAAAAAGAGAAGAGAGAAAGAAAAAAGGAGAGAGAGAGAGATATATATGCAATTTCTTACTGCATAGTTATCTGTAAAAAAGCTTTGAATGGAATGCATTTAAACTCATTGAAAAATAAAAAATATATACTCTACAAATGGTTCCATATTAAATTTCAAACAAATTAAAACTCCATTGAAAAGTGAGAGAATTAATTATTGTACCAAATGTTTGATTCCATTCTGCTTTTTATTTTTTATTTTTATTTTTTTAATTATTATTATTTTTTTTTTAGGAGGGGGTTGCAAGGGGCACAGTTAGGGCCCATCATAAAACCAGTTAAGGCTCTTCAATGGGTTCAGACTCGGATATTGTGCGTTGTAATTTGAATCCCTTGGTGCCATCAGGACCTTTTGGTTGACGCAAAACAGTCATGCGTGGCTTACTGGTGTCACAGTTCAAATTCTTCAACCGACTTATGAGGCGATCAGGCCGCTGAGTTGGAGTATTCTTGGACCTGCAAACCAAGATGTTTATGTTCAACATTAAGCATACTACATGACAGTTGAAAGTGCAATCTTGAGAACAGTTTCCCCATGAGTAAAGGTTGCTTACACTAAAATTACTCAAGAGGAAAGAGTCAATCTGATATTCATGTATGGAAAGCCAGATGCTACACACCAATCAGTTGTACAACAATAAAATCGACATTAACTTACATGATGCGAGAGATGCTGCAAGCTGAAGATTTTCCAGTCTTCTGATTGGTGATGATGACAAACTCCACCTCGTCACCTGGGCTCAGGGAGTTGCCATCCTTCACTTCTGACTGGTGGAAGAACAGTTTTTTCCCTTCTTCTGTTTCATAGTTGAGGAACCCATACTGACCTGTTAAAGTAACAAGCAACTGGCTATATACTGAGGCTAACCCTTCTACTGTACATGAGTGGAAACGGAATGTCAACATACAGTGAACCCTCGAAGACCCGTACCGAGTAAATCTGGATTTCAGAAGATTCAGACAAAAAATTTGGGGGTTTTGGGCTAAGAGGCTTCCCTAACAAGCATTCCCAAAATAGTGCAAAGAACATTTTAGGCCCGTGGGTGCTGGTTGGTCACGCTGGACACAGGTGCCTGAAGAGATGGGAAACAAACAGCTGTCAATTATTGTTTGTGGGAATATTATTTCATTCACTCTTGTTATGATACTGTACAATGTTTCTTATTATGTTAATGCAGGTAAATGTATGGTTTATATAATTTGTTTATCACTCTGCACGTCACTTTTTTTCAAATTAGACTACAAGGTACTGTATGTATTTCTCCCATACATATTTCGATCGTATCTCTGGCAACGGGTACGATTAAGGGGTGTGAGTGTCGAGTGACTGCTAGTTGAGCGTCGTCTGCTCTTGTAACTCTCCTCCCTCCCTCCCTCGTTGCCATATTTCACTGGATTTACTGTTATTATTAGTGTTTAATTGTGATTAATCATGGCATCACTGTAATCACCAGGCAACTGGGCCAAGCTGTGTGGTGTTTTTCAACTCGTATTTTTGGGTAGATATACGAACTTTCGTCATTTATTTTTACTCAGTTACATGCACACACCATCCTCCATACACATTATTAAAAAGGGAAAAGAAATAATTGTCCTAAGGGGCAAACAGGTAACAGATGAAGAGCACAGAGTGTAGAGGGTGGGGAGCGTTGCTACGGAATCGGAGTCCCAGCTGGTCTTTGTTAATATGGTGAACCAGGGAGTACAGTATAGTACAGTATATGCAAATGATGACTGTGTTAAACTTTCATCTGGCTTTTATTTACTGATTTGGCAATACAGTGATACCTCGGTTAACGAATTACCTTCCATAAGAATCTTCATTTCGGTTTACGAAATTCTTACGAAAACATGTCAACGTGTTTTCACTTGCTCACCAGCTGGATTATTAGTCCACCAATACAGTAATCGGTTGTAGAGCTTAAATTCGTTCCCACTTGAGTAAATATCAAGAAGGTTGTACTATTCAATAATTTTCCAGTCATTTTAACACTTATTTAACATAATTGGAGAACAGGAAACTAGTTTTTGGTGCGCCAATCAGCCACTTGACTCACCAACCAAGGCGTCAGTTTGTATCTCTGGTCAGTGGAGGTAACATCTTGCTTATGGCTCTCTTGAACATAAACTATTTTTACGCTTTTACAGTACAATTATTGGTCATTCTGAAATTTCTTTAACATATTGACAATATATAGTGCAGTGTTGATTTAAAGAAAATAATCTTGAATTACACCTAGTGAACTTAAAATTTTATGGGTGAAATGACGACTTGAAGCATGGGGTGATTTCTCTTCCATCCCCACTTCCTTCTCTTCTCCCTTCTCCTCCACCCCCACTTCTAATTCCCATCATCATCAACCAGGAGCCTTCTACATACACACCTCAAAGTAAGTGTACTTTACTGCATTTTTTTTTTTTACTTTGTATGTAATTTTCGGTGAGCTGGAACCAATTATCCAAAATCCCATTGAAACAATGGTTTCGGTTAACGGACAACCTTCTGGAACGAATTGTGTTCGTTAACCGACGGACCACTGTACAGTATTTTTTGTTGTAACTTATTTATTGGTATTATTTTTATTTATGCACACAAAAGTCTTATATACCGAAAAATGTGATATGTATTTTTAGTTTTTTTTATATTATTTATCGTTTCTATGCGTTTTATAAATTCGCCGGAAGATTCGGAAAATTATCTTTTTCCGACAGGTGGCCCCCCCCCCTTAATCCGGATCTTCGAAGGTTCATTCACTGTAGTATTGCCTTTCCTACAACTTTTTGGTTCACTCTTGCACTCTTTCCTTCCATGGTGGGAGGTGGTTGCAACCAAAAGCAACACACACACACTTCTTCATTTACTGTGATTCCTTTTAATTCCTATGAAAATTTAACTACAATTAACTGTAGACTAATTTTTTTACAAATGAAATTTGCCATTACACAACAAATTTCTCAACCTTACATATTTTTCAATAATATATTGAAAGATTTCTAGTAAGGTGTAGAGTGGCTTGATGGGTCAATTCGTAGCATTCATAAACTAATGGGTCACCATATCCCAGAGGCAGAGTGTTGGTACACTTAAGGTTTACTCCAGCACTATCAAATGGAAATGAAAATGTATTCATCTTATTGTTGAGTGTGCAAGTGTCAGCATGTAAGGAGGACACCCAGCCCCCCCACACCAACTGGGAATGGTACTTGGGACCATTTACTGGCAGGGTGATTGCTCTACCATTTAAACTACCGTCATTAAACACCTGGTAAAAGCTTGCAAAAATATTTTAAACTACATATTTTCATCAGAAAAGCTTCTCCCTGTACTGTATATCTGTCTATCTATCCACATTCACTCCAATCCCAAATAAATGGAAGAGCTTAGCTACCATATCTCACAAACCATCAACTAACCTTTAACAGCATCAACTGTGGCAATCAGCTTCTTGCGGATGGCTCGGATAACAACAGCACGACGAGACTCATCCAACTGAAAGGTGACTTGATCTCCTGGTTGTAGGAGTTCACGTTTATTTACGATGCCTGTGATGCCAAATTCGTACTGGGGCAATCCATCACCTAGTAAAACAAATAACGCTTAATATATAAAAGTGACCCTTGACAAAGAATGTGGTTTGGTTCCGTTTGTCTTCCACTGAAGCTAATTTCTTGTGGGAAAATAGGTTTATTTTTCCAGGAGACTAAAAAAAATTTCCTCTATTGGTCACTCCAATGGTTACTACAAGGTTGGCTGACATAAACATATATGATAGTGATAGAAGATTAGTAGGATTATCAAGGAATTGTGCTGACACAGTGGTAATGAGGGGAAGTTGATCCACTAGTGGAACAATTCTATCCTAAACTGCTCTGGATTTATTAATATTCCACTGTTAATAATTCACACTACATCACTGTGAAGGACTGCTGGCACTTGTAGCCTTGTTCTTCCCTCTTGCCTTCTCATCCCCTCTCCTCCACTTTCCTAGTTCCTTGGCCTTGTACTGTGCACTGTCAACCTATCATTTAGTTATCACATTCCTAAGTTACAAGTCATATTTCCCTTTTCATGCAAACAGTTAGCACATCAAGAAAAAAGTTAAAATTATTTGGGGGTTTAAATAAATTTATTTTAGGGCAACCTTTCACAAAAAATGCACATGATTCACTCTACACCAAGTTTCAGAATGAGTGGGACTACTGTATATCCACCTAATGCTGTAATAGTAAAAGAGTATACTGTACTGTATAGTGTCTTACTTTCATTACCAACACACACAAGACCACAATACTCTTGCTGGTCTGGGTTAATGGACCGCATGGAGCGTAGGACTGTTCCTTCAAAGATTTCGGCCATGACCTGCAATGTATTCAAGGAAATGGGAATTAAAGACAATTATAACACTTGGAATATTAAGGCAATGTATAAGTTTTTATTCACTGTTTCAATACAAGGTTTAAAATTAAACAAGAGGCATTTTTACAGGTTGGTGTTTGTTCCCTCCTGTCACCTTGCTCCAATCTTCCCTACTGTTTATTCCTAATCTATGAACTTCCTGTACCTCTTGATCAAAGCAATACAGAGACAAGAGGGGGAAGCCATAACATTAACACTGATAGATTTATACATAGATAGATTTATAAATAGGTAGATAAGATAGTTAGATTCTACAACAGAAAAGCTTGGTAGCAACTCTTCTATTCCACTTAGGTATGAGTATGGAGTATTGAGATATTACTTTTAGACAATTATTCATAAACTCATAAAAGTAGATAAGTTGATTTAATAATTGTCTATAATATCACATATTAAAGTAGATATATATCCATTTATTTCACGAGTTGTTTTTTTTAGAATGACCAGTTTGCATTTGCTTTGTTGGTAAGTGAAAAATGTGGTTGAGAAATTAACGAAAAATCTAAGATCCGCACAGATCACATGAGGTAAAGCGGTGTACAATACTCACTACCACCGCTGCAGTATAATGCTATCCCCAGTGGTATAGCCTGTCATGCACCGTAAGTCATCTAAGAGTGATTGTGTCAACATCCAACTTGTCTTAGTGCCCTTAATAAGCCTGCCTGCCACATAACAGTTCTCGGAAGTCATATTAAGTTAAACTGGAGCAGTGGATTTTATTAATATCCTTCAGAGGGAATAGGAGAGGTAGATACCAAGGAAAAAAAAACAATACAAGAGCAAAGTAAATGAAATGCATGTGTGTGTACAAATGCATCAATAAAAGCCTTCCCAGCATATTGAAATTTTGTATGCCATTAGTTTCAGCAATTTCCTTATAAAAATTCAACAAAATATTCCCCACCAATTACCCGCATTCACTCAAATATTCACTATTTCTAGTGAACTCTGATTCCCTAAATGAGTGCCTTGGTCTACCTCATCTAAAACTTATTTCAAAACAATTAAGAATAAAAAATGAATATAAATTTTTAATTTATAGTGTTCAAACAAGAACAAAAACTGCATATTATGAATAATGTGCCGTACCTTAGGCATAGGCAGTGTCCCCTTAGTGAGCATGCGAACATTCTCTGCTGATACTTTTCCTCCAGGGCCCGTGCGTGATGACAGGGTGTACTCTACCTCTTGACCTAACTCAAAACTGGCAGCATCTCCTTCCACATTGCTGCAAACATCAGAAAATGACACTTTTCAATAGTGGCTAATAAAGAAATCTGTAACGAATCAGACAGGGAAAGATATTACATATTACATCAGCAAATTCATAGTTTTCAAATTGGATTGCATGGATTATAAAACACATCTATGGGTAGTACTGTACTAAAAAAAAATCAAACTCAGGATTCTATATAGCTACAGATGACAATGTTTCCCTTAGCTATTACACCTTTTCATCCCAATTTTATGCTAGAATACAATGGAACATTTTTTAAAGGTGCAACTCCCTCAGTAAAACAGTCTCCAGGCTTTTCCATTATGTAGATGCCACTGTAAAAATTATATGGAGCATAACTTACATCAGTCAGGTTACTAGTACCACATTATCTTATGGCTTTACAAGTAATGGAGAATAAATAACAATAATACTTAACTCTAATATAGGCAAGATATGGATTGAGAATCTATACACAGCTCACACACGAGATTTGAATAACACGATCAATCCAGGAAATGAGGTTATAATGTCATGATTTCTATCTGTAATACCATGAATTCTTCAGGTTGTTCTTCTGCACCTCTTATCTTGAAGTTTGTCATTATAACCTATCCCAGACAAAATTGGTAAAAGAACAAAAATAATAAAATCTGCTGGTGATAACAGGAAGGTATACAAGATTAATAGCACTTTAAACCATCCTTCTCTCACCTGAAGTGGAAGAATATCTCCTTGTCATGGGCAATAGTCTCAATGAAGCCAAATGTATCTTTTAGAGCTGCAACAAAGCCTTGATGCAGTGTTGCAGATGGACGCCCTGAGGAGGTACTGCCGTTCATATTACTACTGGTGGTAGCAGTAGTGGTGTTGGTGGTAGTGGTGTTGGTGGTAGTGGCGTTGGTGGTAGTGGCGTTGGTGGTAGTGGCGTTGGTGGTAGTGGCGTTGGTGGTGGTGGTGCTGCTGCTGCTACTTATGATGTTCTTTTGGCTGCTGCTTATGTTGTTACTGCTGCTACTGTTACTGCTGTCATTATTGCTACTGGTGACAATGTTGAAAGTGCTGCTGTTGCTTGTCGAGCTACAAGAGAAATACAACAATGCCATTACAAAACAATTACTTCACATACTATTTACGCAAGACAACAGATTAGATGACAAACCTAACATAATTATTGTACCAAATTTTCACCGTGAACAAAGTAACAACACTTTCAATCTCTTCATTACGCTTATGCATTTAAACAGTACTATGAAAAACTTCAGAGAAAACATCTACCTTGGACTGGTTGGCAGGACGGCGGTTGAAGGCCTCACCACAATAGGAATGAGATTGTTGATCTGTGGCAGGTCAGTATGGCAACGCACTATTCGCACCCCCATGGCTATGAGCTCTTTGGTGCGTTTAACTTGGTAAATGTTGAACCCCACCTAAAATTTGGGAAAACTTCTAAGAAAAACACCACATATTGCTTCACTATAACTGACTTAAGTTTAAATGCAATATATCAACTACACAAAAAATCATGCCATTGCACAAGTAAACACTAAACTGGTGGAGAAAAAAAATATATATACAGCTCCCCTACTTACGAACATTCAAGTTACGAGCTTTCAGAGATACGAACAAACCTGTCCGTATGTCCAATTGCCCGTTTGAAAACCGCCGCACGATAGATTGCGTCACCCTGTATCCCTAGCGCTATTGTTGTTGTTGTGTTCCTCTGCTGCCTCAAGGTGTTATTTGTGGTTTTAATGAATATTATTGACCCCAACATGTCTCAGAAGCGTAAGAGTGATGCCAGTGGTGATGGTGGTAGTAAGAAGCGTCGTACTATTACGTTGGAAACTAAGGTGGACATTATAAAGAGTTGTGAAAGAGGTGAGAAAATGATAAGCATAGCAAATGCTCTTGGGATGAATCGTTCGACTGTTGAGAAAATTTTGAAGGACAAAGAGCGCATGCAACATGTGAAAGGTTCTGTGCCAATGCATTCCACGATCATTAGTAAGAAAAGAGGCTCAGTGATCACAGATGGAAAATTTTTTGAGTGTGTGGCTGGAAGACCAGCATTACCTCTGCATGCCTATAAGCCTTAACGTAATTCAGCGGAAGGCCATAACTCTCTTTGAAGACATAAAAGCTAAACATGGCGAGTGTTTATTTATTATTACTATACATGCTATTCATACATTAAAATCCCGTTTAAGGCTGGTAAGAAATACTGTCGAGTATTATTGGGGTATAGCTGTTTGTACAATCTTTTTTTAACACTGCTGTATACAGTATTCAGTATTGAAAAGAATAATGTTGGACTTACGAACAGACCTCAGGAACCTAACCAGTTCGTAAGTAGGGGAGCCCCTGTACAGTGAATCTTCGAAGATCTGGACCCGGTAAATCCGGATATTGGAAGATTTGAACATAATTTGGGGCTTCCGAAGGCTAAGAATCCTCCCTAAGAAGCATTCTCAAAACAGAGCAAAGATCGTCTTAGACCCATGTAACTAAGATGTCAGAGCCCGGGACACAAATCTTTCCTATTTTCCCAATTACTTACATATTTCTATTGAAATCTCAAAAAAAGTGTCTCACTGGTACTGTGACAACAGAATTACTTTTAAATACTGTCCTAACAATGTTTTATCTTACTAAATACAAGGTGGACTACTGTGAAGAGTATGAAGTAGACAAAAAAAAAAATAAAAAACCCTCCAGGTAAAATATTTACCTATAATTTCCCTTAATATCCATCCTCTCAAGTGTTTATTTCATTTGTTGCGCTGAAATGGTTTCATATTTAAATATCACCAGGTCCAACAATTAACTACTAACACCAAGACACTCTATTTACCCTATCCCCCATTTGTGGGGGTCTATCACAGTTTTTATCATAATACTTGATATTCTGTTTCACTCCATCCTGTAAATACGAGATATACCCAGGCTCCTCTGGTTTCTCAGGAGAAGGTGACTGCCCGTTACTCTTGGTTGGGCTCCTAGGGCTGGCTGGGGGCTCGACCACTACCTGTAACCATGTCAGATATAAGCATTCAAAATCAAGCATTCGCAAAACCAAAGAGAATATATTTTGAGTGGGTCAAACATTTTATAAAAACTAGGGTCAAGGGTTTTAAAATTTTTATAGATGAATTAAGCAGGAAAAGAAATATTGTACATAGGTAAACTCTGAAAATGATCAAACATCAAGACTGATGCAAGATAATTTTTCTAGCTGCCTTACCAGACATACTCTACATCACCCAGAATCACCTTTATTCCCAAAAACCCATCTCAATGCCATGTTCGAAATTGTGTACAGAGACCAAATCTTACTGAATGTCCATCCCCCTCCCATGAGGCACCTTCTTTACCCTCACCTTCCATAATTATAGTCCCCCCCCCCCCTAATATTTTATGCAAGTGTAACCTTCTGGTCACAAAAAGATAACATAAGTCAGTTGTCATATATGTTCATGTCATATATCATATACAAATATTACAAAAGATATAAATATACATTTTTATCTTGACATTTGTCAGCAAAATCAAAATTTACAATCTGTTACTACCCACATATGGTACGTATAGTACATGTGCACTGTTCACAATATCAAATCAGATAATTATATTCTGACCCATCAGTAGTTATCAACATGAGAGCAAGTATCATTATGCCCAGAAAAAGCAAACTTACCCGACCAGTAAGACCCTCGGTGACTAGCACTTCAAACTTGACTGTTCCCGAATTTACTCGGTGAATGCGAATTGCGCTCTGACGGTTAGGAGACTGATTTGTTATGTCCTGTAGTAAATAAAAAAGGTTAATTGATCAATGAAACCTGTTCCCATTGGTATAACTTTCATCTCTTTTACTAGCTACCTCATCAAAGAACATTCTCCACAACCACAGCAACATTACACACTATTAAGGCAATCCAACTCAGACTCAAATTCACTTAATTTAGTTAAATAAAAGTTTTATCCTGAATACCCACCTTATAGCCTAGTCTCATCTGGGCAACTTGTATAGCTAACATTATGACACAAGTCTAGGGGTTGAAAATGCTGGGTTCCCAGAATTCTTGACATCAGTCAAGGTCTGGGAGGTACCCTGGTAAAAGTCTTTGCTGTCAAATGAACAGGTGAGCTTCACCACCCCCATGTGATGATGTGACTAGACTATAATGTGTCAAACATAAGTTGACTCCTCAATTCTGGCTCACCTCAATAGTACTTAAACTAAGTCTTAAAGGGAAGAAATTTGAGTTCCCTGATCCAGGTTCTGTTAAAAAATGGAAGAGGAGGATCAATCCCTCATTTATAGCTAAATTCTTGACTTGGGTGACTCAAAGTGTCTCAAGTCAGCTAGATATGGGAGGAATGAGGCACAAAAGCAGCAAGAACAAGTCACCCACTGGAAGATCAGAAAGTAACCTTACAGACTCCCCAAGACCACAAAGTACAAAAGAATAATTTATTAATTGATGTACTGGCCACTACCCAGCCCCTCTCTGAAGGATTATGTTATAGAAATGTAACAGGGGATAATTTTCTGCAGGACCAGAGCAAAGTAAGAGCATCTGCCTAGTCAGCTCTGTCACCTGGAACAGATGAGTTGACCCAAGAAATGATGCTTTATAACCAATGTAAGTTTGATTTGAGAAATGAATGTTTGTGATGGTTAAGATCCCTAACATTCTGCCACCTACATTTCTCTTTTATTAAAAGGGTTGAGTTATAATCGAATGGTAAACTAATTTCAAAATCAGTTCCGGTCAACAATGTTGGGAACCCCGAGTTTTCAAGAACAATATGAGAACAAGACCAAATGGCACCAAACAATTTTCAATCAAGGGTTCACATGTTAAAATACAATTTTGTAAGTAAAATTATAAATAAACATGACCATTCAGAAAATGACTACCAATACCTAATGTTTCTGAGTAAGATATTTTACCGAAATACCCAAATTAAAGCCCGATGGCTATCCCCTGGACATTTATTCGGTAAAGGGACAAATAAAAATGAATATAATTTCATAAGCTGCAGAATTACTAAACACAAGGACAAGACAAACCTCTATACAAAGTGGAGCGTTAAAAGCTACAAATTACCTGAGCCACAGTGAACATAACTTCATCATTAACGGCAATCTCATGCTCCGGGTCCAGCAGTTCGTTGTAGTGGAAAAACAAACGAGCGTCACGATCAGCACACTTAATGAAACCAAAGCCATCCTTCAGGGCAGCGATGACACCATGCTCTCGTTTCTCACCAGAAACATTAAAGCTGTAATGAAGGGTAAATTATTAGAATGGGGGGAAAAGAAATACAGTAAATCATATATTTCCTGAGACTAAGTGCGAATTATGATTCCCAATACAGTACAGTATCTCAATATTGTATATCCAAAATTAATAAATTTGCTTTTTATAAAAACACTGGAGCAATTTGAAGTGGTCATTTAGCACGAAACCTTTTTATTATTTGATCAAGTACAAAGGGGTACAGTTAAAGATGAAAATACTGTATGAACATTCAGGTGATGTTATTATCATCAAAACCGATACAATACACACACTTCCCGGGTTATGGATTTCCAACTTTACTGATACTCTCTTCCAAGTCCATTCTCGGGTTGTGGACGAGTATCTGTTGCTATAGACGTCAAGTAGAGAAGAGACCTACAGAGTATGTGTACAGCAGCTGGGCGAGGCGTCCCGTAAAGTGCCATTTTGCACTCAGTCACGTTGTTAGATTGCTAGAGCGTGCATCCTCTGCGTATCATTTCTGAATTTTTTCCTAAATTGCCCTTAATTATGTTGCAAAATGACTGGAAAGTGCTCACGTGATAGTAAGAAAGCAGGACTTGTTCATAAATGGAAAGTAATAGATATAAAACAGAAAATGAAAGTAATTAAGCAGTATAAAAAGAGGAAAAACCATCACCATGATCTCACGCGAACTCGGTCTCACTACCACAACCGTTCACAAGATTGTGAAGGGCAAGGGTTCACATAAAGGAACACATGAAAGGCTTAGTGCCTTTAAAACCTATTGTAATAATGAAGCAACAACCATCTGTGGATGATCAAATCAGTACCAGGATTTAAGGATAATAAAATTACTATTCGTACACTAATTTTGTAGTTACTTTACATAATTGTATTTGTGAATTTGTCTTTCATTCGTATGCTTCTATCGTTACTTTTTAATTAATAAAAAAGTATTGTATCATGTAGGTATGGTAATTGTACAGTATGTGTACTACGTGTGTTCAATGAATACCTATGAAGGAGTCACTTCCAGTTTACGGATATGGCCTACGGATAGCCTCCAGGAACGGAACTCATCCCTAACCCGGGGTATGTCTGTATTCACTTCAGTACATTAGCCAAGAAAGTGAAGGAAAACCAGATGCTTAACACAGAGTAAAATATGAAGCCACTATAAAAGCCATAGCTACAGTACCTGTCATCCAAAAGAGAGATGTTAGTAGCCTTCTGCAAGTGGTCACGACGGTCAGTAGCTATGTTGAACTGCACCCAATCTCCGTGACGCAATGTGAAATCTCCTTTCTGATCTCGTTCCCCAAACTTTACTTCCACCTGAAATAAAGATTTACTTGAATATCCTAGCATTATTGCAGCTAGCATTAGGCAAGGTTAGTATTTGGTTGGGGTGGTCAATCAAAAGGTGAAAGGAAGCACAATCTTTAACATATTTTGATGGCTCAATTTCCTTAATAACTCTGAAGTCTACTTACATACACTGTTATGGTTCAAAATCTTGATAAACTTCCCCAATTCTCAAAATGGCCTGGGCTCCAAGAATGGTTGTTTTATGCAGGGTAGGATACCTGGGTTTTCTTAATATTATTGCAAATACTGTACCTCATCTGAATCTCTATCCAAACACAGGATTTCATATAACCAATAAATAAAGGTTCACCCTATTGTTCAAAAGTGAAAAAGATACAGTAGATATAACCGAAGTTATCATCTGTAGAGTTCACCAATTTCTAAGGCCACATGTTGCACCATTCTTACCCCCAGAGATCATTTCAGGTTATCTATCTCATTCTATGGTTTTAGAGGTCATACTATACCAGGGTTTCAAAGTTGGTGTGCTGCTTTTTAGGGAACATGTGTGTGTGTAAACATATTTATGGTGTAAAAAAATTTGCTTAAATATACATCTTCCTGTCATATAAATTTACTGTATATACTACAGTACAGTATATACATTGGCATGGTGCTGATTTTTTTGGTTAAATCATGGTATAAATATCTTTATAAACATATGATCCAAAAAATAATTTTTTCAACTTATAATCCCAAATAACCTAATAAAATACTCGTTTCTTTAAACAAATTTCTTGTGTGTGTGTTACGGGCTGGTAGAAATAAAGCCTCTGGGGATGTCCCTTTTAAACTCTCATGCACCAGCAAAATAATCTATTTGGGAGAATAAAAACAAAATGAGGCACTGACCTCTGAGCGATCCTTGCCCCTGTAGCGTATGCGACCAGTCAGTGGATCCTTTTGGTTGTGTCTGGGGTTCCTCTCCACTGGCTTCAGCACCTGACCCCTTATTAACTCCTGGTTAATGTCCTCAAATACCACTGTTCCAGGATTCAGCTTCACCATGTTGGTTGCCACTTCCTTGCCCTATATATGTAAAAGCAATTATAATCTTGGGTAGGTTAAAATGATGTTAATTACTTTGCATTCAATTACTGTACAGCTAATTACTATTCTTTAAAACTGCCACCACAATAAAATAATTAAAATTAGGTCAAAATCTAACAATAATGACAGCCACTATTATCATACACTGTACAGTAGCCCCCCCAAAAAAGCATCTTCGTCTCTCTGCCTTTTTCATGCTTTTCTTGGATATTATTACTTTCATGATGTCCTCATCCAAGAGTGATAGTGCAAGAGAGGGTCCTAGGCACCCGTAAGTGAGTGAGGGACGAAAATAAGTGGAAATTAGAAGTGACAAAGCAGAAAAGGAACGCTGGCACCGAGTACACGAATGTGAGAACGAAAAAGTTGTGGGGAAACGTGTTATTGGCTCCACATGCAAGGATGGCTGCATGGCCAAGCTTGGTGAAGAGAAAGTAAATAAGATTTTTTTTTAAAGATTTCTGGACTATTGGTAACTTTGATAAACAGAACATTTACATTGGTAAACTCGTAACCTCTGGTCATGTTGGCTGTTCAAGTATTGCTGACCGTGTCTCATGTAAATTACATTCTATTACGTACAGTGTGATTTACGAGGATGAGACAATAACAGTGTAGGAATGCTTTCTACTCTATTCACGGGATTATTAAACGGCGTGTGAGGACTGTGCTGAGTAAGGTGACTGGGACTGTGGAGGAGGGCATAAGACAGCTGCATCACACGTGCCCAGTATTAGTTTAGACAGAAGACAGCTGGTGATTGAACACATTAATAGTTATGCCGCTGTTAGCAGTCATTACAGCCGTGCTAAGAGTCCACATCGGAATTGAACGTCACCGCTATGTACAGGATATATCAGGAGTGGCTGAAGGAACAAGACCTAATCATAAAGCAGTGACCCACCACTATTATCAGGATGTGTTCAATCAAGAGTTCATCCTTGGTTTTTTCCCACCTATGACTGACACCTGCAACACCTGTGATAGGATCTGCCATAGTCTTGCTGCCACAGACAAGGTGAAGAATGTGCAGGAATTCAACTGCCTCACCACTGAACAAACCCTGCACAGGAAGCGGGCAAAAGTTCCTCACGGCTACCTGAAAGTGTATGCCAATGATGATGATGGTGAGCTGTTTGTCATCTCGATCGACCTGCAGCACACACTCCCCACATCAACTCTGGTGTTCAGTATTATAAACGCAAACTGTGGATCTATAACTTTGGGATCCACAACGTCCAAACTGGGAACGCTTCAATGTATCTGTGGAGTGAAACCACGCCAAAGAGGGGGTCTTCTGATATTGTCAGCTGTGTCATGCACTACATCAGGACACACGTAACCACTTCAGTCACGAAACTCGTTATTTTCAGTGATAACTGTGAAGGGCAAAATAAAAACATACATTTTGTTCTGACCTGCCTTCGTTACATTCATGAAGGGCACTTCACTGACATCAAACACATTTTCATGGTCCCTGGCCACTCCTACCTTCCCTGTGATTGTGACTTTGGCCACATAGAGAAGACCCTCACGAAGATGGAGGTCTATACTCCAGAGGGCTATGCTGCAGCAATCAGGGGGTGCAGGCACACGAAACCATTCTCAGTTGTGAAAATGAAGAGGGAAGACTTCCTGGATGTCTTTGTTTTAGTTTCACAGATCACCATACGCCATGAACCAGGGATCCGTTTCAGTGATGCCAAGGTCTTGACCTACTCCACAAACTACAAGGAGGGGAATGGCATCAAGATAGCATACAACCTCACAGACCCCTACATTGTCAGGCTGCAGAAAGGTCGTGGCAAGGAAATACCCCTCAACCTTCAACTTGGCTTCTGCGACTCTACAATCCAAGTATGACAAACCTGACTACAGTAATATCCATTAGCCGGAATCCCTCAAACCCGGAACTCTCCGATAACCAGAATTGAAATTTTCTGGGAAAATCGTTCCCAAAGCCGGAATTTTCCGGAAAATTACGGCTTTGAGAACAATTTTCTGAGGGGCATATTTTCCCGAAATTCAGAGAAAATTTTTCCATTACCCGGAAAATTCCGGGGATGAGGGATTTTTTCTGGCTTTGAGAGAGTCGTCTAGTTAACCAGAAATCTCTCATTCCCGGGAGTGCTCTACACCAATTGTTCCTATAACGGGGATATTACTGTATTAACACCTTTTGTAGATGTATTTCTGAACTCACACCTCTTGTTTTTATCACTTACCCTTTCATACACAAGACAATCACATGAGTCTTTGAGACACAACAGGTTCCAAAAAAAAAAATTCCAACAAGCTAAGAATATTCAAAACAACTCACGTTCCGCGTCTGGATGAAGAACTCAACATCGTCGCCCAACTTCAGTCCTCCGGGGATGTTTTTGGCCTCGGAGAAGTGGAAGAAGATTTCGTCCACAACGTCTGCCCTCTCGATGAATCCGTACGAGTCTTTGATGGTGCTCACTACTCCTTGATATTTGACAGGCTGTGCAGGATTCTCTAAACGCACATGGCGGGCCGCTAGGTTGCCTGTCCTGCTTTAAGGTATAGTGGTTAATCAGTTGTCTAGTTCTATTTCAGTAAACCTTAATTCTAGTTCCATTACATAGGGTAACAGCATAAGCCTTCCTATATACAGTATTCATTCACACATTCCTTAAATTGTGCTTAAGGTGCTTTTTTTATACAACTATGAGGCATGACATTGATCTCTAGCCGGTCTATCACTATCATAAAAATAATTGATGAATCTTCAGTTCTAGTAATTCCTAAATCAAACTTCATGAACAAATCAGTGACTCAGGGATACTCCAGACAGTTTGACAATGAATAATGAATTTTCCTGGTTTAAAATTTTCCAGTTAATCCTTGTCTCTCAGCATAAGGCACCAGCTTCCCTCTTGACAACTCACACATTCTGTCATGAACTAGTCACAGCACATCAGATTTCCTAAATACAAAATAGTATTATACAGATGGGTGGGCTTTCTTTTGAGGCTGGTGTAAAACCTGCCTGCTCAGGTAACCATAGCCATTCCCCTCATACTTACTTTTCATGATAAGTGTCAAAATTTTTATTTCAACAACTCATTTTGCATTCAGATCTGGCCAACAAACTTGTCAAACATTTCTTCAGTCTATAACAATCACAACTAAAACCATTATATTGGGAAAAGATGCTACAAGTGCCCACAACCAATTCCTAAAATGGCACAGAGCTTAAGTGATACATAAACAATAACATCAGCAACAAGAGACAAAAACACTTTCTTGAAGACCAATAGTAATGTATGTATATGCAGACATAGATGAGTCTGACGGTAACAGTGTTCTTTATAACACTGAAAGCTCAGACTCTGATGATGGGCCATTAAGTCCAAGTGATGTTCAGGGCTGGAAACAGGTGGACTCAGCTCTTCCACATGTTGAGCCTTCCCCATGATTTCCATACAATAATGTATGGAAATGGGGCTTCTGTGAATTATATATCTTACCCAGATGATAGTATGTTGACATATTTCAATATTTTTTGATGATCTTGTTGATGTTCATTTTATATATTTTTTCACATCTTTTACATAATTCTTGAGATATCTAAAGATAGATGACTGTATAATAACTTAGTAGGAAAAAAAAATAAACAACAAACATTGTGTGTGTGTTACTTTGTCTATATATACTGTTCAGATTTTAAAATACAAAATTTTTAAATTATTTTTTTTAAAACAACTTTTAGACATACTAAATGAGTCAAGCATGGGGTTAACATACATACCTTTGGTTGGTTGCAATCTGGAAACTAACTTTATCTCCTGGTTTAAGAGTTACATAACCCTCAACATCATCTTTGCCATAAGGAAGGAAAAAACATTCGCCACGATTCTCATAAGTGATCCTTCCTTGGTGTTCACCTCCAGACTCACTGCGAAGCTCAGTTGTAACAATGCCAATGACTCTCTCCTCACTTAGTACCTGTTAACCAACAAAAGAATTTAACAAACAAAACTAATATACACTATATGTAATTTTTTTTTTAATAATAATTACTGGTCACTCACAACGTAAGAACCATAAAGGCTAATTCATGTTTTGTAAGTAGTTAAGTTCCTGGCTTGAAATGTCTTCGCTCTTACACTAACAAAATTATTCTATCGAAGTGTGCCAGTGAAGAACATCTGATACAGTAAATAAATTACATTGATGTCACCCAGTACAGTACCTATAAACCTTAAATACCAGCTGGTTAAATAAGGCAGGAACGAGAAGGATAAACCAGAATACCTAAAATTGGTGACTGTGTCAGCAATGTAAGGGAGAGGCAAGATGTTCTGATGGCATGGATACAGGCAGTGAGAGCAATGTTGCTTGATAATCTTACAAGCATTATTCTTTTTATGATGTATGATACAACCATACAAGTTTTAATGACTCACCACTTCTGGAGAAATTTTGGTGACTGCTGATGCAATAGGTTTGCCTGTCCGACGATCAAAGGTCACCTCAAATTCTACTGGGTCACCAATGCGGAGATGCTCTGTGTTGCCATCAAATTGCGAAAAGTGAAAAAAGAGTCTTGCCTGCCTTTCACAGCACTGAATGAACCCATAAGTTTGCTGAAATTAAGATAACAAACTTCAAGCACAGAAGGGAATGCTTCTACTTCAATAACAAAGTTGCACTTAATCTCATAAATACACAGTACTGTACTGTATTGGTAATTATAAAATTCATTAGGATGAATATGAAATTTACAGAACACTCACCAGCAGTTTCTCAATGATTCCTGTCTCTCGTACACTCTGGCTATTGTTACTTGATATTCCATTACTGTGAGAGTACGAGTTTGTGGTCTCCTGGCCATTTGATTCTGATGGAAAGCCATTGGCATTAAGGGTGAAGGTCCCAATCTTGAAGTCTGCGACAGGAGGAGTGTACTGGGAGCTTGAGTTAGAGCTATAGTAATTGGATGATGTACTAGACAACTGCGGGGAGTGTGGAGGGCCCTGAGATGGAGATTGCTGTTGCTGTTGTTGCTGCTGCTGCTGCTGCTGCTGCTGCTGCTGCTGCTGCTGTTGTTGCTGCTGCTGTGAATGTTGCTGCTGCTGTGAATGTTGCTGAGAATGCTGTGTTGAATGATTATTGGGCTGATGATTTGACTGGTGGCTGGACTGATGCACAGACTGACTGGATTGCTGATTTGACTGGTGGTTATTCATGTGGGATGAAAATACATTGTGTTGCGGGGTGGGACATATAAAGCTTGGTGAGAGTGGAGCCATATTGTTGCGAGACTGTTGGTGGTTGGAGAGTGGAGAATCATAATAACCGTTGTATCGACTATGGTGTGGTAGGCTACCCCCGTTGTATTCCAGTACTGCTGATTCAGAGATTGGCGGCTGGAATAGATTCCACTGAGGATCCATGGTTGTTGCTTTTGTTACTTCTTATTAACACTTAGAATATCTTAGATCCCGTTTATTCACACTTCTTTGTAGGAACAAGGATTACATAAATTGCTTCACAGACAAAACATTACATGGGACACTTGACTAAAAGATTTTTTCTGTTGCTGCTTTGATTCACGTTAAGTTTAAGAGCACAAGATGAGGAGTATTTTCAGATTCACAGAAAACAAACTTTAATGGTCCAAAATTATTTCACATAGCCACATCACTAGACAAAGGAAAAAAATAAATAAATAAAAATAAAAAAATAAAAATTTTTACTTGACCAGAAAACACAGACTTTCAGGATAAACGATACATCAAAAAACACGAAGACTTTGGTCAAAAAGATTCAACTTGACAAAGATTCTTGCGACGAGACTGGTTTACAAAATGCTCAATAAATAAAGGGGGCGGCGTTTGAAAAAAAAAAGCACGTTTTTGTGCCAGGCTGTGTAAGAGAAGACTTTATAGTGGTTTGGCGGTGATAACTGGCTTGTATGGGGGTGGTGGTCCTCAGATGTCACTCAGTTGCTTGTGCCGTGCTTTGGTGCGCCAATACTGTAGTGCAGGCCAGGCTTGGGTTTGATACTTGACAAGAGTTACAGTAGTTTCCTTCTACCGTAACTTGTTGGCAGTTGTGCTTCTTTGGGTTGGCTTGCAAAGGTTGCTTATAGAATGCTACATCTAGGTAGGCTTGATTTGTTAGTGGTAACTTGTGGTCGTCTACACTAATGAAATTTGGCTTGGCTGCTGTTTTGTTGATGTTATTCTTCAGTCTTGTGATGTTCAGACTCTACTGAAAGAAAAAAGGCAAAAAATAAAATCAAAACATAATTCATTAAACTAATTACCATAAAATAAGTAAAATTCCTTGATGTAAAAGTTTGGCCTGGACCTGGAAAATAAAAGATACAGTAGTTAATGTATTATGTGAAGCCCTGACATGAACAGTATGTACAGGGGGCCCCCCAAACTCGCGGGGGTTAGGTTCTCAAAATGCAAGCGAATAACATTTGCGGACCGGAGGTGGTGGGGGGTACATTGTTACTTGTGTACAAAGAAATGTATATTCCCTTTATGTGTTTATGTGTTTGCCCTTAGGACAATTATTTCTTTTACTTCTAGTATTGTATATGTGTGTATGTGTGTAGACACACACACATACACAAAACACATACAAATAAATAATAATTGGAAAATCCTCACACAAATAATCAGAATCAAATTTATTAAAAAATGTGAGTCTACCAATCAAGTCCGTGCTCTGTTAATAAAGTACTGTAATAGAGCACTGACTTGGGGGTAGACTGTCACATTTTTAATAAATTTGTTTCTGATTATTTGAGAGGATTTTCCAATTATTATTTATTTGTATGTTTTGTGTATGTCTCTCTCTAAACACACATTAACAATACAGTGGTCCCTCGGTTAATGAACGCTTCGGCTAACGAAATTTCGGTTAACGAATTACTTTCCATAAAAATCTTCAATTCGATTAACGAACAAAAATTTGATTAACGAAATTCTTACGAAAACATAACAACATGTTTTGGCTTGCTCATCGGCTGGTAGGTTAGTCCGCCAATACAATAATCGGTTCTAGGCTTACATTCGTTTCCATTGGAGTAAATATCAAAAAGGTTGTGCTATTAAATATTTTTCCAAGTTTTACATTAAAAATATTAGTCATTTTAACACTTATTTAACATAATTGCAGTACAGGGAACTAGTTTTTGGTGTGCCCATCAGCCACTTCACTCACCCACCAAGGCATCTGTTTGAGTCTCTGTTCAGTGGAGGAAACATCTTACTTGTGGGTCTCTTGAACATAAGAGTATTTTTACGTTTTTACAGTACAATTATTGGTCATTCTGAAATTTATTCAACATGTTGATAATATATAGCGCAGTGTTGATTTAAAGAAAATAATCTTGAATTACACCTAGTGAACTTAAAATTTTATTGGTGAAATTACTGCATCAAGCATGGTTCCCTGAAAGGTGATTTCTCCTCCATTCCCACTTCCTTCTCTTCTCCCTTCTCCTCCACCCCACTTCTAATTCCCATCATCATCATCAACCAGGAACCTTCTACATACGCACCTCAAAGTGTACTTTGCTACATTTTTTTTTACTTTGTATGTACTTTTCGGTGAACTGGAACCAATTACCCAATATCCCATTGAAACAATGGATTCGGATAAAAAAAATTTTGTTTAACGAACGACCTTCTGGAATGAATTGTGTTCGTTAACCGAGGGACCACTGTACAGGTAAAGGAAATTACGGTCTCAAGAACGAATGGCTCCCTGTCCCAGCCTCGTAAATACTGGCAACTTTTATAACTACCCACAGACATTCTTGGGTACATCCAGGGTGTCATCAGCGAATAACCGAGAACCGCGAAGTAAAAATCCGCAAACTTGAGGGGCATACAGTACAGTTTGTAATTTACTCATGAGGCGAATTGTATTGACTAGCTGTGTAAAGCATACTTATATTGACCAAGTTATTGTTCAGTTTCCGTTCCCTGATTGGGTTGAACAACGAACTTCAGTTTTATTTGAAGAAATTGGATCTAACAGTCATTAATGCACTTAAAAGACCTACTATACTAACAGGCATCTACCATTTAGAGAATAATGGCAAGTACAGTATCACAATCTATATGTGGTATAGTCTTTAATGCCAACCCAACTACACCCACAGTTGTGTTCAAGTAAACGTATCCTCAAAATATATTTGCAAAGACCTATTTCCTGGTCACAAACATAAGCTGGGTTGCCTCATTCTGGTTCTCCAAATATGGAAATGATTGTACTGTATCTGTATTGTACATAATACAGTACAGTACTGCAATGCCATTATTTCTTAATGAAGCACTCCTGATGTTGTCTGCCCAAGTCATTGAAGACAGCAACTGAAGAGAGGATCAAAAGAACTCTAAGTATTTCTACATCATCCATGAAAATCACCTGGTACATAGCACCAGTTGGGATCCCTAACCTCTGACATAGGAGGGAGTAGGGGAAATCCAAACTCTGAGTAGTATAGGGACAGGAGACAGGACACAAACACCCAAGGCAGAAGTCACAGTAGGCACCAGTGTTAGAGCAGATGTGCTTAACCCATCCTACAGGGGTAAGAATTATAAATCAACAGAATGTTTCCTTGCCTACTTTATAAACATTTCAACTGGTACTTTGCACTTTAGCTACAACATGAGGGTAACACTGCAGGCCTGAACCTGCAACTTGAGGACATTTCTCTTTACAGTAGAAGTCGGTCAAAAAGATTAATATGAAAACTTTTTCATCATTATAATCTTAATGATTTTTGTTCTGAACACTAATCTATGTCCATGAGATCATGGTGCTTCCAGGATGTTTCATTGATTCTTCTCATAGACAGGAATAATTTTTTTTTATAGATGATAATAGAACACAATTACTGTTTTAGGTTAGCTTAGGCCCTAACCTAACCTAACCTAAAACAGTGATTATCTTCTACTGACACCCTAACATTTAGGGTGTCAATATTTTTTTTCGCGCCATATTGGGGTGGCAGGTATAGACCAACAGTTGCCAGGAGTGGCTGCTGGAATCGTTAGCCAAGGTCCAGATGTATTCAATCATAAAATAAGCCAACCTAAGATCACAGTTATCAACTTATCATAAAAAAAGGAACCACACAAATGTCTCAAGCACACACAGAGGAGCAATGGTGTTGGACCTCAGAATTCCCAATCAGAAAAGTCTGTAAAATTTATACTCAGCAGGGTATTACGGAAACTACAGATTATACCTCATAAGAGCAAAGTTTACAATGTATAAAGTTCACCAATGCTGCCACAACCTACCAAGAGATACTCTACTGGTATATATACAAAATACCACACGATTTTGAGAGATAAGAATTTTGAATGAGAAGAACAAAAACAGTTACTATTGATAAATTTGTTATATTTGTATGAGACATTTGACTTATAAAATAAAGGCAGTTACAGTAACAAGCCTGGATGATTTATTGTTTTCAAGTGCACTCAAATACAGGAGAATTATGGGTTAATATTCATCCATTGGCTGTCTGCTGATTTCCAATTTTCAATATTACATATACAAAGACATACAACCTCATTTCATTTCTTGTGCAAATCAATATTAACAGTCTCTCCCATATTTCTAGGCGTAAGTTTCTGTACCCCCCATGTTGCCCATCACTTCTCTCCTCCTGTTTGCAACATGACAACGAATGACTTTCAAGTATCGTGTCACGTGACTTGCCAAACCAATCATTTTGAAGCAGCCTTTCACAGCGCAATTTAAATTTTTGAAGGCTTGTGATGGCGTGTGATAAGTGCTCTCTCCCTTATCTAGCTGTTATTCAGTGAGTTTATGAGAATGACATTGAAGCAATGCAAATATTACAAGATCAGTGTCCTACCAACATCAAGACTGTGTCCTACCTGTGGAAATTGTTTACTTTTGAGAAAAGATAAAATCTTTTGTCTGTTTCCATAAGGTTACTTTTCAGGTGTGTTTTATGGTGTTTTACTCAAACCTGACTGCCATCTTGGTGCAAATTAGCGGTTTCGGTTACAAATGAAAATTTTATTAAAAAAAAAAAATGCTAAATTGCACAGGAAATGAAGGTCAGATTTGAGTAAAACACACCATAATACAAAAAAACCCGAGGACAGCCAATGGACAAATCTTTACCGATTTATGAATCCCGACATACCTCCCCGGGACAGCGGCACAGGGAAATGAAATAAAGGACAATCCCATATGTACGGACAACCTGGCAACCCTAATATACAGTATACATGGACTTTCATACAGTTTCAACATCAATCAAGACAGTCCAGGTATATAACAGAACACACCATGTCTTCTTAACCAAGGATAGACCAAGAAAGGTGTTAGAAACTACTGATAATAGATACTCGGTTAAATTTAGTCAGTATCAACTTCCCTCTAATCCTGACTGTTAAAATTCTCAGGTAATAAGCAAAGGATGAAGCGCGGGGCCTCCAGGTAGATTAGTTTGGTCAGTAACAATATTAATAACGCTTCTCTCGTCACACCGTCACCACTCGGACCTAGAAGCTTCCCAATTCATTACTGAACCTTATTTCTACGTCAATAGCTCCACACTACGTCCCATGCAGGTATTTCAGGCATGTCTTAAAGCCATGGTAAATAATAGGCAGCCATCCTAGGCCTGTAAATGTCATCCAAGGGCCTCGGCAGATGAGCACAAAAACATTGCTGCCATCCTCTTCCCCTATGCACCACCATATTTACCCCTGCCTTTCCCTTCATTCACGACCTATATTTGGATAAAAAATAGATGTAAACTTTCTCTGATATCTGGAAATTCTAAGACTTAATAATAAAAGAGTAGGAGGTTGCAGGTATGGTTGTAGCGAGGTACAAAACTTACCCCAGCACAGCACAGCACTGATGACATGCCGCCATCTTTAGGACTAACATACTCACGCTATGCCAACCTTAACACACACGTCCGCTCCAGCCTCCACTCTCTATTCTTACTGTTATTAGATAAATAATGAAAAATGTATGAATTTTATTATAGGAGAATCAAAAGCGCTCCATGAATTATTTGTATACGCCGTTGAGTTGTTCAATAGTTGAGAGTACATTTGGCACCAGTGTAAAAGTTCGGTTCACAGCCGCTAGGTAGCGCTGGCCTGATGCTCACCCGCCAAGCTTAAGTTAATTTGTATCTTTTGTGCTCTCGTATATACCTACCTCTTCTTTAGTACTAATATCCACTAATATGATTATACAATCCTGGAGCGTTTGTCAAGTTAACTCATTTATTATCAATATTGATAGTGCTTGCAATAATAATTTCTGTGTATTACTTTTTACTTTACTTTTATCCTCTTCACCACAGATCGGCTTGTTAGCCGCTTGGGCGATCGGTCACGTCTCTTTTCCTTTATATTCTTCACCAAAAGATCGGCTCGCTCGCCGCCCGGGCGATCGGTCACGTCTCTGTCACGCACTGTTGGCAAATACTGGGCATGCACCGGCTCCTGAATGTACCTGAACCCGCTCCAGTGTTGGTCAAGTCTTGTCTTGAAAGAGCTCACACTCGGTGCCGTCACAACACTCTCTGGTAGATTATTCCAAGAGTTTACAACTCTCACTCCGAAAAAGGTTGCCCTCACGGTTTTCTGGATTTGCGGCTTCTTCAATCTTGAACTGCGACCCCTTGTGGGGCGAGCGTCCGCCGGCTTCAAGTAAGGACACTCAACTGAGTAATGCCCCCTGAGATGCTTATACACCTCAACTAGGTCCCCCCTTGCCCGTCTGTAGTATAAGCTAGGCAAGTTCAGGCGCTCCAATCTCTCAGGGTAGCTGAGGTGCCGAAGTGCAGGCACCAGTCTGGTGGCCCTCCTTTGAACATTTTCAACCAACTGACAGTCCCTAGCATATCTCGGTGACAGACTCCAGATGGGGAAGCACTTCACTCCTGAAGATCGTTACGAGGGACGGACCGTCTAGATATCTGAACGACCTTCTTATAAGACCCAATAATTTATTTGCCTGATTTACCTTCTTCTCACAATGGCCCGAGAACTTCAGCTCATTGTCAACATACACACCTAGGTCCTTCTCACACACAGTCTCAACTAGTGCAGTTTCTTCATCCCGTTGGGACATATGATACGCCTCCTTACCGTTGGTACGCCCCAGGTGCATCCTCTTACACTTCGTGACATTGAATCTCAGCAGCCATTTCTTCGACCATTCCTGGAGCCCACAGAGGTCCTTCTGCAGCTCTTCACAGTCCGCTTGGTTCTTAATTTCCCGAAATAACTTGGCGTCATCGGCAAACATTTGTATGGAGGAGTGTACAACGTCAGGCATGTCATTTATGAAACAAACAAACAACAGCGGGCCCAATACACTGCCCTGTGGTACCCCACTTGTTACAGGTACAGATGACGATTTCGTGCCATTAATCACCACACACTGCTTGCGGTCATGTAGAAAGTCTTCTATCCACGCTAGGACATTTCCCCGAATTCCGTACCCTTCCAGTTTGATTTTCAGCCTTTCGTGGGGTACACTGTCGAAAGCCTTGGCAAAATCTAGGTAAATATTGTCGATATTACCACCCCGTTCCAGAATATGGGTCCAAATATCCAATACCTTGAGCAATTGTGTTAAGCAGGAGCGCCCCGGCATAAAACCCTGTTGGCAATCTTTTACAAGGTTGTTTCGTATTAGATGTTCCATTGCGGCATCTCTGATAATGCTCTCAAGTACTTTACATATTATGCTGGTCAGGCTCACCGGTCTATAGTTGTTCGTGGAGTGACGATCGCCCTTCTTGAAGATAGGACCCACATAAGCCACTTTCCATTCACTGGGGACCATTTGTTCATCCAGGCATTTGCAAAACAGGATCTTCAGGGGCTCTGCAAGCTCGTTGCACAACTCTCTTAGCACTCTTAGCCCGTCTCCTCTTTTAGCTTTTCCATTTCAAATATATTTGTGTTTAAACTGGTTCGATGATAAGGCCTTTACAACCTTCTCTGGTAAGTTGTTCTAAGTTCTTGTTGATCTTTGTCTACAAGTGGCTTTATTTTATTTTAACAATGTACAACGAGCCCTGACAAAGCATGGTCTCATTTCAGTTTTACTTCTTTATCCTTTTAATTTTTTGATTACTTATCAGCTTAATAGTCGTTCAGGAGGCTGTTCCGTTCTTTGCTACGACCTTCATATTGCAGTGTTAATAGGGGAGGAAACAGCAGTACCCGGAGAAAACCGACTGGATAACGAGCTTATCAGTGGCAAAGAGGATAACCACAAGGAAAGAAGAAAACACGAAGTTCCCAAGCGCTTTCGTGTAATTCACACCTTCAGGGGTGAGTATAGACTGTCTGTACTCACCCCTGAAGATGTGAATTACACGAAAGCGCTTGGGAACTTCGTGTTTTCTTCTTTCCTTGTGGTTATCAGCATATACCTGGATCACGCGCAACTACAGTGATTTACTTGCATATATATATATATATATATATATATATATATATATATATATATATATATATATATATATATATATATATATATATATATATATATATATATATATATATATATAAAATATTATATATATATAAAACAAAAATTTCTTTTTTAATACAGGCTATAAAATTATAAAATTTCGAACACCGTTTCCACTCAAGAAAAATTTCAGTTTATAGAACTTGAATGAGTACTATTACTTTTTTTTTATCCTCTTCGCCACTGATCGGCTTGTTAGCCGCTTGGGCGATCGGTCACGACTCTTTTCCTTTATATTCTTCACCAAAAGGTCGGCTCGCTAGCCGCCCGGGCGATCGGTCACGTCTCTGTCACGCACTGTTGGCAAATACTGGGCATGCACCGGCTCCTGAATGTACCTGAACCCGCTCCAGTGTTGGTCAAGTCTTCTCTTGAAAGAGCTCACACTCGGTGCCGTCACAACACTCTCTGGTAGATTGTTCCAAGAGTTTACAACCCTCACTCCGAAAAAGTTTGCCCTCACGGTTTTCCGGACTTGCGGCTTCTTCAATCTTGAGCTGTGACCCCTTGTGGGGCGAGCGTCCGCCAGCTCCAAGTAAGGACACTCAACTGAGTAGTGCCCCCTGAGATGCTTATAAACCTCAACTAGGTCCCCCCTTGCCCGTCTGTAGTATAAGCTAGGCAAGTTCAGGCGCTCCAATCTCGCAGGGTAGCTGAGATGCCGAAGTGCAGGCACCAGTTTGGTGGCCCTCCTTTGAACATTTTCAACCAACTGACAGTCCCTAGCATATCTCGGGGACCAGATGGGGTGACAGTACTCCAGATGGGGAAGCACTTCACTCCTGAAGATCGTCACGAGGGACGGACCGTCTAGATATCTGAACGACCTTCTTATAAGACCCAATAATTTATTTGCCTGATTTACCTTCTTCTCACAATGGCCGAGAACTTCAGCTCATTGTCAACATACACACCTAGGTCCTTCTCACACACAGTCTCAACTAGTACATTTTCTTCATCCCGTTGGGACATATGGTACGCCTCCTTACCGTTGGTACGCCCCAGGTGCATCCTCTTACACTTCGTGACATTGAATCTCAGCAGCCATTCCTTCGACCATTCCTGGAGCCCACAGAGGTCCTTCTGCAGCTCTTCACAGTCCGCTTGGTTCTTAATTTCCCGAAATAACTTGGCGTCATCGGCAAACATTTGTATGGAGGAGTGTACAACGTCAGGCATATCATTTATGAAACAAACAAACAACAGCGGGCCCAATACACTACCCTGCGGTACCCCACTTGTTACAGGTACAGATGACGATTTCGTGCCATTAATCACCACACATTGCTTGCGGTCATGTAGAAAGTCTTCTATCCACGCTAGGACATTTCCCCGAATTCCGTACCCTTCCAGTTTGATTTTCAGCCTTTCGTGGGGTACACTGTCGAAAGCCTTGGCAAAATCTAGGTAAATATTGTCGATATTACCACCCCGTTCTAGAATATGGGTCCAAATATCCAATACCTTGAGCAATTGTGTCAAGCAAGAGCGCCCCGGCATAAAACCGTGTTGGCAATCTTTTACAAGGTTGTTTCGTAGTAGATGTTCCATCGCTGCATCTCTGATAATACTCTCAAGTACTTTACATATTATGCTGGTCAGGCTCACCGGTCTATAGTTGTTCGTGGAGTGCCTATCGCCCTTCTTGAAGATAGGACTCACATAAGCCACTTTCCATTCACTGGGGACCATTTGTTCATCCAGGCATTTACAAAACAGAATCTTCAGGGGCTCTGCAAGCTCGTTGCACAGCTCCCTTAGCACTCTAGGATGCACCATGTCAGGTCCAGGACTCTTATGGACCTTTAGCCTGGACAGTTTATTTCTAATACCCTCTTCTGTGAACACAATGTGGGTCAGTGCTGTGTCGAACCGTCTGTCCTCAAACGCAGGAAGGTTAGTTGCATCCTCTCTTGTGAACACTGAGGAAAAGAAGCTGTTCAATGCCTCAGCTTTATCCTGGTCAGAATCTGCGTAACTACCATCTTCAAGCCTCAGGTCTGATACTCCTACTCGCGTTTTCAATTTCGACTTTGCATAGCGGTAAAACGCCTTTGGGTTTGACTTGACCTCGCGTGCAACCAGCCTTTGGAACTCCTTTTCAGCCCTCCTACACTCTATCTTTGCTTGGTTTCTGGCTCTTGCATACATCCTCCTGTCTTGCTCATCGTTTGACCCAACCCACGTCTTGAATTTCTGGGTTTTCTTCTTAATTTTGTCGACCGCCGCATGGTTCATGTGTAGGGATCCCCTCGTATTCCTAGAAGCACTGGGTTTGGTCTTGGGTATATATTTATCGATCAAATGGGTCATTTTACTAGTTATGATATTCAGCGTAGTGTCTGCGTTCTTGTACCTTAATAAGTCAGGCCAGTTGATACCCCTCATCTCTTCCCTCATCCCATTGTAATTTCCCTTGTAATATTTGCACCTTGGCCTGGCCTTATCTTGAACTAGGTAACAGTTAAATCTGAATGACAACACTGTATGGTGACTGGTGCCAACTGGGGCAAGGTGTTCCAGTTTGGCCACCATACCCTCCTCGTTTGTTATGATGAGGTCAAGTGGCTTGGGTGTTTGCTCCCCTCTGTAATGTGTCGGGTCTCTCACATGTTGGAACAGAAAATTATCTCTCAGAGTTTCTACAAAAAGAGTAGCAGGATTATTCAAGTCATTCGGGGTTGACTCGTTTCTCCAGTCGATGTCGCCACTATTGTCATAGAAGTTCACATTGATTAAGCACCTAGTGAACACAGACACTGTAGGTATACAAACAATATTAAGAAACAGGTCATCTCAGCCAAAAGAAAAATAATAAATGCAGATAAGTTACAAGCTAGGAAGCGATCATATCAACAAAATTTAAATGAGTTTTCATTTGAGTTTTTGTTGGAGGTTTGTGGCTCTTGAAAAAAGTTGTATAGTGTAAATAGTTTCGACGTAAGAATCACCTGAATAATTAGACACACCTAACTTATATCACACAATTAAACACTTTGGCACTACCTGGGGTTAGATTAGTGTTAGGGTGTTTCAACTTTCATCATCGGGTGATCCGAGAACTGTTTTTTACTTTATCTTCTTCGCTAGTTGTCTGCTTACTAGCCGATGTTGTCATACATTTCTTTCTTTTTCTCTTTCATTATCCTCTTCCACGTTGATTTCATACACAATGATACTATTGAATCTTTCCCTAAGAATACCTGTAAACCTCCTCTCCTTGTCGCTGGAACAACACTCTCCCTCTTCAGCAGTCAGTGGTTGAATCATACGATCACTATCATCCCTGTCTCTTTCCAATATTCCTTCTAAACATTGAATCTTTCATTTGTAGATTCCCTCTTTCACACACAAGGTTGGTTTGAAATTCTTTCGGTATATATTCATATTATTTTTCTGTTGTTTTAACATTTATTCTCTAAGCTGGGTCGGGATAACCAAAGATTTACATTGGTTGATAATGTCCCCTGATAGGTGCCACGGGAACGCATATAGTAGAAAGTGAATCTCAGTGTACATCTGATGTCATTGTGTACATTTTTCTTAATGCTTTAGCTTATATCAGCCAGTTAGGTGGGCTCTACATCTTCGGTTACGAGGAAATTTTACCCTACGATCATTTTAGGTTCAGGACCTTTACTTATATCACAGATGACAGATTTTGCATAAGTCACGGTTTAAATAATGAGATTGGTGGAGTATCGTGATGCATGTGTTAGTTTATTGTGTCAGTACTTGTTTCTTTCATTAATGTGTGTATTAAACTGGATCAATAACATGCATACAATTTCTTTTGTATTTAACCCATTTTATGTTTGAAGTTCACATTGGAGTTTTTAATTAGGCTATATATTAATTAGAATTGTGTATGTGTGTGCGTGTGTCTGTGTGTGTGTGTGTGTGTGTGAGAGAGAGAGAGAGAGAGAGAGAGAGAGAGAGAGAGAGATGTAATGAGGTAAATCTCACATAGAAGATATAAGGTAGGAGTTTATAGTAGTAGAGTCGTAGAGTGAGGAAAGTTTGGTAGCGTGACGGTTAGTTATTTAACTGTATATTATATTCGTAGGGGGAATCTTCTAAACACCAATTTTAAGTACAGCTGTTTATTAATTAACTCAATGGCATGGACACATTAATAGATCATTACATTTACGTTACTAGACACTGACTCTCGGACACAGACATGAAATGGACGCACTTCCCACCGTAGGTAACTTACCCTTGGATCGCTCTGACAATGACTCACGTGTGACCTGAGGGAGGCCCAGCGGCTGGGGGATGTCTGTAGGTGCTACTGGACTTTGGTTCCTGTGGGTGACTGCTAGCTGGAGACTCGGTGCTGGGGAGGGAAGTCTCCCTCCCGACCTCGACTTGTGACGAGCATGACTCTGAGTTCTGTCTCGCACTGTCTGACTTTAGGAAGGAGCTGTTAGCCCCTTCCCTGTTATAAAAATAATGCCTCGTGGAAGGAGCTAAAGACCCCTTCCCTGTTCTGATAGTAAAGCCTGGTGGAAGAAGCTGCAGGCTCCTTATATTGGAGATCTCGAGCCGGCAGATGATCTCTCCTAATTAACACTAAACTGGTTAGATCTGGACAGCTGTGTTTGCGTGGTCATGTCGCCGGTCGGTAAAGCTTCCTAATTATTTCCACCCGGGTGTGTCTTCTTCAGGTGAATTTCTTTAACACGATCATAACGCCGGGTTAACTCAGGTACTTTGTGGCCGTGACCTCTCATGGGTCAGATCTTAATCTCACTGTAGGGTGTGTCAACTTGCGTGGGTGTACACCTGCTTATCTACTTTATGTTATGTGTGTTGCTCTTCTCTGGGCTGTAAGCTATGGTGTAATAAACAATCATTGGAGAGAGAGAGGGAGAGAGAGAGATTGTTAAATATATGTAGCCTCAAGTCCTCAGACAATGTACCAGCCTGCATTACGTTGCATCAAACTTAATAAAACAACAACAAAAACAACGAAATATTCTGGCCTGGAACAATACAGCGCGGCCTCTCCACCCTGAGCTCTGTACAAGCTAAATTTGACACTTTAGATAGCCAATTAGGTAGTACATTCTTACATCCTCACTTAGGAGAAATATACACTGTACGAACCACTGTGAATCTGGGTCTTGGATGTTGTAGAGCCTTCATTATGTAAACATAAGGTCAACAGTGAAGCTTTGTTAGGACGAAGTCAAGTGGCCGTCAGTGTTGCTGGGAGAGAGACAGTTACGGCTGCAAGTTACTGATGATCCAATCAACGTAGTAGTTCACGCTGGTGTAGACGCCCTGGGTGTTGGGAGTTCCACATTCAAGAGGTCCGTGGCTAGTAAGACCCACCACATAGGTTCTGGAATTTAAAGTGCTTCCTAGGGTCAGAGGTCCACCTGTAAAGAGAATTAATATTTGCTGAGAAGTTTTAATATGAAGTTTATGTAAAATTATGTAAATGAGAGGTCTTGAGATTAAAATTTAATTCTATATACACGTGAAACTATTCAAACCAGACTACTCAAAGTGAAATGAAATAATACAACCAAGCATATACTTAGGAGGTCAAATTTTGAACAATATAAAGAGACGTAATGGTGGACAAGTCGCCCCTCTTGTCATATAGGAAGTTTCACCACACCATAATAACACTGATGCTGGTAAGAGAAATACGTAGACTGTTGAGCTCGTCTGTTTACTTCTGTCCATATACCAAATTTAGTTAAAATTCATTGTTATTTGAGTAACCGTGTTTACAGACGAACAGAGAGAGTCAAGGATGGAGGTGCAATTTCTCATCCTATTGTTATTATTCCTGTTGTTTTTATAAATGTCTGAGTAAACAACTAACGTCTTTAACCACGTATCTCAAGTAGATCAATACTGCATATTATATAACAACTATTATAAATTACATAAAAAGTTGTTCCTTTATCATTTCAGTTCATTAAATGTCTCGTAATATATAATATCTTGTCATAACACATAATCAGAAGAATGCATCAGAATGTGATATTATTATCGAGTTTGGTCACTACCTGTATGGACACTTATGGAGATTTGTAATTAAGTCAATTATATTGGTAAATGTTAACTAGACATTGATTAAAAAGATCATTCTCAAGAGTTTATGTCATTTACGGGTCCTTAATTCTCGTTATCAGATAATGGGCTTTTACAATGCTCGTTCTGTGAGTTTCGTTTTTGATGAAGATGTGTCACTGACTAACCTGAGTCTCCTCTGCATGTGTCTCTGCCGTCCCCACCAGCGCATAATACTGAGTTAGGGTTCGGGTTAGAGCTCGTCCTTCTCTGACAATCCGCAGAGTCTTGGATGGGCAGCTGCACCTGCTGCAGGACGTCGGGCCTGAGGGATTGCCTTGAGTCTGTTGGACATAAAAGGCATGGATTTGTCTTCCAGTTTACATTATTTTTCACTTAATCAACACACACACACACACACACACACACACACACACACACACACACACACACCATCTAATGTTTTTCAGTTTTATTTAAAGGATCCAGCTTTCAGATCCAAAGATATCAATGCCAGGATTTAAGAGATCATGAGAAACAGTCCCCAGTCCTCAAGTGTAGGAACCAACTTAGTCATGGGTGTCTGCCAAGGCTGTATGCTAATGGATGAACCTCAAAAATCAGTGTGTGAAGGACTTGCTTTAGATATTTAACGAACACCGCTGTAAAAGACGATACCGTCTCTAGCAGGAAGGGAAAATGTTGTCCAAATTATTTCCAATAATAAACTATACAGTAGAATGAACGTATTTTTAGATGTTATCGTTATTCTTCAGCTCAAGGCGACCAGTACGGTGCGTTGTTACATCTTCACTTACGAGGAAATTTCATAATTGAAATATTTGTGAACTTGGACACTTACCTCTAGAGATGAGGCCCCAACCTGCAGCCCAGCCTAGCTTTCCCCTGTACTGCTGCACCGAGAAGCCCAAATCCTGCACGGGGTTACGAGGCAAGCAGATAGGCACAACAAAAACTGTAATACAATATTATTCATTTAACCAGAGTTGTGTTGGAGAACTTACATATACATCCACTGCTGCACTGTCAGTGTCCGGGTATCACGGCAAATATCCGTTTTACACTACGGCTAAACAACACATTTGATGATAATCGGTTAATTAATAGGACAGGTTGGATGTACACAAGCATACAGACTAACTAGTTAAGGGACACCTAACACTAAAACTTAACTCATTCTAAGCTTCAAAATTCACTTGTAATTGTATGAAAGATCGACAGACAGACAGACTGTTGCTTCAGTCGGCATATTCCCGAAATCAGGGACAGGAGGGAGGTAATAAGAACAGTAAGTTAAAAGCTTATTGGAATCACTTTAAAAACTAGAATGGTTCAAATGACTAAATACCAGAATATAAGGACTTGCTTACCGGAGTAAAAAAATAATGGACAGTCTCCAGAAAGGAGTACCACAAGGCTCCACCTTCTGGAGTATTTTGTCACAGACAAATGATTAAAACCTCAAATACTAACGAACATCGAGGACAGCCGGCCTAGACAGCCTTATGAGGGCGATGTCGTTACAGCTCCTGCAGCCTCTCTGATAGTCAGGGTGGTTGATGACTCTCTCAATAGGGATGTCTTGTGGGGTGGGAGCGCACCTCCCGCCTTCACAGTCAGGGTTTGTCGACAGTGTGTGCTCGCCCACCCTGGCAACAACTCTGTGAAAAGTTTAATAATATGACAAATAGCACAAATAATCATGTCAACAATACCGTCACAGTTTACAAATATCAAAATTAACATCAATAGTTGATGTCAATTAATGATCGGTGAAGAACTAACAAACGGGAGAGAGAAATTAAAAAATACTTTGGGAAGCTAAATCGTCGCCAGGCAGTGAGGTATCAGGGCTTGGTCTCCATATTTCAACACCTCACCTGCGGTGTTCCCCAGGGGACCAAGATGGGACCACTGTGCTTCCTCATCCTGATCAACGACGCTCTATCGGACACTCCTCACAGGTGGAAGTACGTGAATGACTGCACTGTGGGGGTTTCAGCGGACAACACTGCACCAGACTACTCATCGCTACAAGGCACCCTGGACAGGCTACAGGCATGGACTATGGAGAACAAGGTCACCATCAACCACACCAAAACCGTAGTCATGCACATCAATATTGCCATCACTCCAGTGCAAGCCCCAGCAGTCACAGTGGTTGCCCATCCTCTCCAGCTGATGCAGTCTGCCAGACTCCTGGGTGTAACTATAGACAACAAACTTGACTGGAAGGCCCATGTAAATAACACAGTCAAGGCAGCCTCGTACCGTCTCTACATGCTATGACCACTTAGGTCACTTGGGACACCCACGCCAGAGCTGAAGACCATCTACAACGCCTTTATTCTCCCCAAACTAACGTATGCATCACCAGCCTGGTCGTCTTCTCTCAACTCCACCCAACGACGTCAGCTAGAGAAGGTACAGAAAAGGGCCTGGAGAATCATGCTCGGCGCAGAATACTCCGGCTACACCAACGCTCTCTCCACCCTGGAAATACCATCCCTCAGTGACCTCCACCACCAAGCACTGGAAAGGTTTGGCAGTGGACTACTGCACCATCCTCGTCATCGCCACCTCCTGCCACCTGCAGCCCCCCACCCAACTCGCTCAGTCCGCCACTACAACAAAATTCAGCCCATAAGAGCCCGCACTGATAGATATAAGAACAGCACCATCCCATCTATTGTTAAAATAATAAACAACTGATTTATGTACTGTACAGCCCTGTAAATGTATTCAATGCATATTATATCATTATGTCTAAATCAAATGTAGTCTGTATATTTTCAGCCACCGGCTGCAACTCTATTAATAAATCGTTTATTATTATTATTATTACACACACACACACACACACACACATTTCCTCTTATTCTTACTACTTTAAAGATGTGTTGTGCCTCGGTACTGTCCTCACCTCCCGCAACAAGGCCCCAAGTCTGGTTTATCCCGTGTCACCTCACACAAGCCACCATCACCCGGCCATCAACAGGATAAACCTTAGAAAAATGTGAACAGTTTACTTACTGTCTAATGTTATTTGAAGACTTGAAGCAATGAGCAGCACTCAGGACGTAGCGGTCACTGATGAGGACGCCTCCGCAGAAGAATATGAACCCACCATCACCTGTTGGCATACATAAGATCAACCAAGATGTACAGCAGCTTACCTTCTCTAAGTCTCCCTCAGTCTGTCTCTAATCATCTCTTATTGGTTTCTCTATTTTCTCTGCGCCTGTCTTTCCGTCTATGTGTGTCTATTTCCTTCTGTCTCTATGTACAATACTTCGTCTTCTGTTTATCTGTTTCCTTGGCTGTCTATATTTCTATTTATGTTTATCCATCTTTTTCCATCAATCATTCAGACGACCTTCATCTTCCATTTACAAACAGTACAATCCGTTGTGTCCATTTATTGGTTGCTGGTTGGAAAGGAAGTCAAAAGTGGGCGGAATTAGTTTAATATGTTTAGTTAATTGTCTTCTGTTTGCTTTGGAAGTCAAAAGAGGTCGGATTACAGCTAAAACTCGTTGCTGATTTGATGCTACTTTCTACAGAAACCAAAAGTGGGCGGAGCTTTGTTGACTGGTGAATTCAATAACATAGAATACTATACACCAAGACGATAACAAAACCGTTACTGACTCGGACTATTGAACGTTTTACCTAACTCCGTCATCCAGACCATACCTCAATAATATAGATAAATTTGTAAGTCAAGCATAAACTAAAACTGTGTAAAACAAAAATATCACAATACAAAATATTTACTGTTCTTTGTCCCGGCAAAAAGCACCATCCACGGCCAAGCAAGGAGAGGGGCATCTTCTCCGTCAATGATCCTGTCAGTTAGGGCTGAAACACCACATTGTGAGGGCAGTAGAGAACCACCAGAGACCTGCGGCCCATCTGGACGAGGAGGGATGGCTGAACTGAAGGAAGTGCAGCACACAAGCGGTTCGGTTATAAATGTACACAAAGATCTGTCGGGAGAGATAAGGCCCTTTAGTCAAACACACACACACACACACACACACACACACACACACACACACACACACACACACACACACACACACACACACACAAACACACACACACACACACACACACACACACACACACACACACACACACACAAAGCAAGCAAAAGAAAAAAAATGGAATCTCTGCATATAGCTATGAGGCTCTGAACTATTAGCCTGTTCAATACACGGAAACAAACTGTGAAGATGAAGATCGAGCGTTGACGGAGACGTGGAGTGACGCGTCTGTTATGGCAGGCGTCCGCCAGGTGTCACCACACTGGTGGTGCATGACATAATAGTGGTGGTGTATGACATGATAAAGGGTTCACACACTATGTATAACATCGCGAATCAATCAACAACCAAAAGCGGGGGGATTTTAGTCGAAAAGTTGATTATAGGTAACAGAGACTTGACACTTACCTGCGTAACTCATTGAGGGATCCTGAGGGAGCGGAACCAGAACGGATTTGTCGTAGTAGCGTAAGCAGTGACGGGCAGCTCTCTATCTTAATACACACTCCTTCACGCTTGTCTTTCCGGCATTCTGAAATGAAGCAAAACATCGTCATTATTACACGAGAAAACAAAATAAACAGGGGTCAGGATTGTGGAGGCCGGCCTGAGTGTGATGTTGTCTATTTTCTGATTATGGGGGAAATGTGGCGTAGGAACGTGTGTGGTGAGTCCAACACCAGGTCAAGGCCACCTCTTATAGGTGGCCTTGGCCAGGCACAGTGACTGTTGGTTAAAAAGAAACATTTATAAATTTACTGACTGGTGGAGGGGAGACACTGGGGGGTCACCTTCCTAAACCTCTCACTATGATCCTCTCGCCCACTAATAATGTTACAATTACCTAAACGGTTGACTGAAACTAAAACAAAAACATAACATTTAAAAGTACATAAAAAATACAATGAGTCAACCTGAAGTCGATACATTCACCAGTTAGGAAACAAAATTAAGGAAGATAATCTTTCAAATAATTCTGAACGTTAATTTTGTCTTCTAATGCGGTCAAGGGAAAGTGTATAGTCTTAATGTTACATGCTCTTACATTTTAAGTGAGATTGAGTGAAAACATTCCTGTAAAAACCTTTGAGAATGAGACCCTTGGACTACCAGTTTTTAACAACTCTTGATGATATGGTGAGTGTCACAACGAGAATGCCTGGCAAGTTCATGAGCAGGTTCAGACTTACACCAGGAGTGGTTTCTAAAAAAGATTCTTTAGTACAATTTTCCCGGTAAATGGAGGCGGACTAATGTGTCTAATTGGCGAACCTGAACTCCAGCACAACATTGTTCAACTGACCTTAAGAATATTTGAAAATATTCTGTACGACAATGATGTGTTGAGTTGGTGCTAAAGTGAATATAATTAGCTAAGGCAGATGGCTCATCAGATTTTCGGCCATTTTTTGTGTTATTCATCTGTTGCAGCTTAGTTTAGGGAGCTCTTCGTCAGAACCTTTGATATAACTAATGTCAGATACAAACTGGGGACAAGTGTGAAGATGTGGTGAAACACGTCAAGATAAAGGTGGGTGAGACTGTCAGTGTATGGACAGCAGAAGTCTCGTTGTTCTCTTTGTTACCTACAAGACTCCCTGAAACATGGCAACATCTGCCATCTACTGGAGTGGTCGTTTTGGTAAAGAGATTAAGGTTTTATCATCTATTTACGCAGAGTTTTATTATTTTGTAATAAGGGTTAATTTTGTTTACAATAATTATGCTGACTTAATTTATGATGAACATCAGCGTTCAATTTCTCAAGTCAACCACTTGGGTGCTTGTTCACATCTTTAGTTACAAGGAATGTTCGCCATATGAACCTTTGTTAATCCTTGGACAGTGGCCAGGACTGTGAATAACACCTGATGTTTATCATGTGACCGACAGTGAAGGTGAGAGATGGGGGTCACTTTGTTTCGTCGCAACAATCCGCTCTGTCATTAACTATAACTACTACACTTCTTCCATATCTAGGATAAGGGGCCACCTTCATAGTACAGTACAATATTGATATCACACGAGAGTTACTGTATGTTAACTTTGTACCTAAATATATACTGATGCTCACATTTCTGAGTAAATTTTGATAATCATATTTTGCTGCAGCCCGTCACTCCCCTCTCACTGTGTGCTGTCACCCGCGTTGGTTCCTTCCTGTCTACTAACTACTGCAATACATGGATTAAGGATGGTAAAAATCTGGACATTAGACGGTCTTAAACCATACCAGCGAGAAAATATAAGTCGAGAACCAGTGCATGCCCAGTAGTTGCCAACAGTGCGTAACAGAGACGTAACCGACCGCTCAAGTGGCTAACGAGCCGACCAGTGTCGAAGAGGATAAGGTAAAGAGACAGAAAGACTGCGTTTAGTACACTTACTTGTTCCAATATTTTGTGCCTCGCTGCCCACAACCATCGCTATCACCAACACTATCACAGGCAGTTGCCCCATATTGGCCACACCTGCAAGGAAAATTATTCATTATATTATCATCATCATTAATATCATCATCACAGCTCATGTCACCATTACATCATCAGCTTCTACACATTATCATAACCACCACATTTCTGGTACACCATCACCGCTGTCCTCGCAAGTTTATCTTTTCCTCATTCATATGTAATTGCCCAGTACAGTCAACATCATAATGTTCTGCACCCCTGGGTCTGACGGCCTTCACAATGATCACTGACTGAGGCCATATTCATTTGGTAAAGCTGGTACTTGTGACTGTGTGATGCATTGTGTAGCCTACAGTAGATTTGAGGACAGTGAGGCAAGCACAGGTCCTCCTACATAGATGTGAGGGCAGTGAGGCAAGCACAGGTCCTCCTACATAGATGTGAGGGCAGTGAGGCAAGCACAGATCCTCCTACATAGATGTGAGGACAGTGAGGCAAGCACAGGTCCTCCTACATAGATGTGAGGACTGAGGCAAGTACAGGTCCTCCTACAAGATGAACATGACAATTTAAACCAAGAATTTTTTGTAGTATTGCAGGCCATAAGGAAGTATTACAGGCGCTTCTCGTGACACATAAAGCCCGCACAGTAAATATTACTCATATAACCAATTTTTTCCACTGAAATAGATAAGAAAGAACTCACAAGTTATCAGTAACAGTCGACTAAACACCATGGGGACACAGTAATAATGTAATCACTGCACACAGTATATAGTTTCAACACTAAAACATTTTTTTCTCGTTACAAATGTCCAGATTCTGTGAAAGAAGTAAAGTGGTTGTGGCGAGGTATCAACTTTCACATTCCCTGATGGTGTTCTGCACATACTGTCCTCACCTGTTGATCATTTAAATACGGTTCCTAATAATTTACGATGGGACGTAATAATAAAGACAACTTATACGTTACCAGCGTCAACAGGACGGAGAAGAGCACCGTGTACCACCCTGAGCTCAGTGATCAGCAACAGACGGTGGCCGGATGCTACAGTACACGTTCGAGTGGAGGCTCTGGACTTTTCGTGGCGACTGTCCCGACTCGACTACCCTAGACGGACCGTAGTCACCGTACACCTCTGTAGGAGAGCCTTGGTAGTGTTGCTGGTGCTCAATGCCACATATTTCCGGCGTCTTTTTTTTCCTATATTTCACGAGTATGTCTAGAAGCAAAGACTATCATTAACCCGAGTGCTTATGAAATAGTATGACTTCATCCTTATTTGAGTGACGTGTATGTGTAACTAACAGAGTGTAGGCTATTATGTCTCATGTCTAGAGGTCCGAGATTGGCTCCTCCCATCCTCGATCTGTTACTGACAGCCCTGAGCAGTGTGACCTCCTCCTTTCGCCTCTTTTTCTCTTCTTCTTCTTCTTCTTCTTCTTTATATATTTTATATTCTTATCACCATCAGTGTGCACCAGTGTCACTTCTTAGTCATGTCACTCTCATGTTTCATCAGTTACTGTCATATATTACCTGCTACTTTCTTGAGTCACTTACCACTGTCACGTGTTACCTGTATTGCTGTTACCTGCTGTGGTTACTGTGTTATAAAGCTCACACATGAAAGTCTGCCACGGAATCGTGGGTCATATTTTTCCTAGAGCGAAAACTTATGGCGGTAATTGCGAAGAATTTTGGAGCCATGAAAGGGTTAACACCACCTGCCTCCCTATACCACACTACCACCACCACCACTACCTGCCTCCCTATACCACACTACCACACGACTTTAACCCACAACAACAATAAATTTCCAGATCATTCTCACAATTAATTCAACACAAACGCACTCAGTTATTTCTCTTCGCCGGAGGAAAAACGTTTACACTCTTTTTATTGATTTACCTAGACCAGTTCCTAAGGTTGAAGACAGGGAAAAGGATGGTGCATAACTTGAGGAAAGGTTTAGCCAAGGAGAGCGGAGGAAGGCGAGTTTGTTGACTGTCTAGAAATAATCCCATGCACTGAGGGGTAAAGGGAAGGGGGGGGGGTGTTCCTTTCATTGTTTATTTTTCATGTATTATTTAGCCAGAGAATGTAGCCTTTGTGAACTGATGTGATACTCTACTGCAAGGTGACACACCGACCTCTGCCACATTACCATCTACCTTTACCACACTACCACATGTGGCCACACACTTGAACACTACGTCCTCGACTGTGTGAAGATAGAACCTTTTAGGGACAGGTCCAAGCACACTGCGTGTGAAATGGCACAACACTTCATCGCTAATGGCAAGATAGCCGACATATTAAGATTGTATCCACTTTTTTGCACTTAGTAACTATATAAATTCTCATGTACAGAACCAAATACGCAATGTGCTTGAATACCTCTCACGTAAATGTGAATAACAAAGTGTGAGGCCAGACATACTGCCTCACACGCCTGTACTCACGCATTTGTGAATAAGTTACCCTTTTTGTATAGAACTAAACAAATAATGTAAATGAAATACTGTGTAACATTCAGTGCCATAATATCCTGACAACGGGGGTTAATTATTATGACCCTTTGTAAACTCTACTCTATAATCCTTTTGTGCTACCGCTCACAGGATGAGTGTGGGGTGCACAATAAAGTAGCCGCTGTAAGCGGCAAAATCAAAATCAACACTACCACCTTCTTCCCTACCACAGTATAAGCGGGGTCAAGAGGAACGTCAGATGAGAGGATAAATGAATTAGTACTGTCAGTCAGATATATACAGTGAAGCTGTCTTATCCAAGGGCGGGTTGAGGTAAAGGGAGAGAGAGTGAGAGGGGTGAGGGAGACGGAGAGGGTTAGGGGTGAGGGAGACGGAGAGAGGGAGGGTTAGGGGTGAGGGAGACGGAGAGAGGGAGGGTTAGGGGTGAGGGAGACGGAGAGAGGGAGGGTTAGGGGTGAGGGAGACGGAGAGAGGGAGGGTTAGGGGTGAGGGAGACGGAGAGAGGGAGGGTTAGGGGTGAGGGAGAAGAGAGAGAAAAAAAGAGGGAAGGAGAGAGGGGTAAGTGTGAAGGAGAGGATGGGAGGGAGAAAAGGGAAGGAGGAAGAGAAAAATGGAGAGGAAGAGGAGAAGGGAGAAGGAGAGAAAGAGGGTAGGGAGAAGGAGAGAAAGAAAGGGGGGTATGGTTGTTACTGAGGCACCCCCCATACTCCCCTCCTACTCCTCCCCCGAAGACAAGCAATTAGTGAATTAAAATAAGTAATAATGTTGACTCCAGGCGGCCATTTACTCCGACAGTAGATAAGAAACACGTGCCATAGGGTCCACTCTGAAAACCTTGGGCGTTTTTTTCTTCAATTTTTGGAAATATTGGTTTCCATAATTGAAATTGAAATATTTCTTCAATATCTCAGTAAATACTGACTGTAGGAGAACAAATACGATGCTTACACCAATGTTTTAAGGGCCAGGTATGATGATGGTGGTGTCTAGAAGGTAATTTGGTGAATATTTGGCCTCTCATTAATCTAGAAACCTCTGCTATTATCTAAGCATGTCAACAATTTGTCGATTGTGATGTTTTAAGGACTGTTATAGAATTTCACCTTACTTTTGCATCTCCAGAGACACACCAAAAGGAAATAGTGTTTAAATAAGTAACTGTAGAAGATGAGGCGAAATCAGCTTGTTTTTTAACTGTTTCTGCAATGTCTACCAATGTCCTACCAGGACTGGTTCTCTCCAGTCCTGCGTAATAATGGAGGAGGAGGACGCGCTGGGTTCGAGTTCGAGTGCAGGTTCAAGTGCTGGATTCAAGTACCCATCTTAGTTGCCAGTTTCAATTTCAAATCCAAGGAGGTTAAGGTTTAAGTCAGGAGTTCTAGTTTCAAGTTTAAGAGTCACGGAAGTATATCAGGAAGAGTTAAGAGTGAAAGGCCCTCACTGCATGGAATCCAGGGAAAAAAGTCACAGAAGAAAAAGTCACAATACAAACACAGTACACACAAACATATAGATATATAGGTCACCTCTGAGCATCCTCACCAACCAGCTCTCTCTACATCACGCTTGTAACCATGCTGCCTTCCCAGCACCAAGCTGCATTGTACATCCAATACAACATGTATATAGAGAGCACATTGTGAGTTTCCTTTCTCCAACCCATCCTGAGTGTGAACACAAATATCCCATACCCCACAACCTCAATGTAACCTCACACCAAACACCTGGCCAAAAAAAAAATTACCGGAGTAGACAACATGTGGTCACAGTGACTTAACCTAACCTATATACATATATAACCTTTTCCCTCTATATATTTTGTTAGTATTTATTGAAAATAATTTTTACGTAACAATGAGTACATGCATACCAAACATGTCACTCGCAAAACCAAGTTGTGGTGGAAGTGTGTTAAAAGATCCAGTGTTCACTTTCGGGGCAGTATGACGACAAACCTACAGAGAGGAACTCCAGAAATAGGCCAGCCTCACAACCATGCGGAATGCCATCATATATAAATAGTGTTGTCAATATGTACATAAGAACATAAGAAAATAAGGAGTCTGCAAAAGGCCGGTTGGCCTGTGCATGGCAGCTCCTGTCGAGAGTTACTACCACTCTCGATCATCCATGAATCTATCCAGTCTCCTTTTGAAACTTTCCAGAGTTCCCGCACTTACTACAAAGTTGCTAAGCTTGTTCCACTCGTCCACCACCCTATTTGTGAATCAGTTTCTTCCTATCTCCCTCCTAAACCTAAACTTATCCAACTTGAATCCGTTGCTCCGAGTCCTATCCTGCTCGGATATTATAAGAACTTTATCTATATCCCCTTTATTGATTCTTTTCACCCACTTAAATACTTCTATCATATCTCCCCGCACTCTTCGTCTTTCTAGGGAATGCAAGTTAAGTTTCTTTAGCCTATCCTGATATGGAAGGTTTCTAAGTCCCGGAATCATTTTTGTCATTCTTCGCTGCACCGACTCAAGTGAATTTATATCCATTCTATAATAGGGGCACCAGAACTGAACCGCATAATCGAGGTGTGGCCTGACTAGCGCAAGATATAGTTGCAATAAGACCTCTGCACTCTTGTTACTTACACTTCTAGATATAAAACCCAATACTCTGTTTGCCTTATTTCGAACATTAACGCACTGTTTTCTCGGCCGTAGGTCCGGGCTTACAAGTACCCCTAGGTCTCTTTCACAAGTCGACTTCTCTAGGTTGATGTTGTTAAGGCTGTATACATTATAAGTATTTGTTCTTCCAATATTAAGTACGCTGCACTTGCTGGTGTTGAATTTCATTTGCCATTTTTCAGACCACCCCTGCAGTTTATTTAGATCCTCCTGTAATGCATTTGCATCCTGCCCTGAATTAATTTGCCGCCCTATTTTGGTGTCATCCGCAAACTTGCTTATGTCACTGCTGATCCCAGTATCCAGATCGTTTATGTAGATTATGAACAAGAGTGGGCCAAGTACTGACCCCTGGGGAACCCCACTGGTTACACGGCCCCACTCAGATTTAACACCATCTACGTTGACCCTCTGCGTTCTATCGGTAAAAGTCGTGTATTGTCAGTTAATCACTGTTTTAAGATATTTTTTGTTTTACTACTTTATTTGTTTAACGTATTTAAATAAAATGTGACTTTTTTCCTGTCTTTATTTCCGTTCACCACTGCATGACTGAGGTGACCTGAAGGTATTTTTGTTGTGAAATTGCTCTAGTATTGAAATTTCTACGGGTTACATCAAGTCGTTGTCTCAGGTGCTTTATGTGGTTTTAAGTTGCTATTCCTCGTTACTCGTTTGATGAGCGATATTTATTTTCCTTGTAAGTAAGTGCAAGAAATAAGTACAGTGTATTTAAATGTTTTATTTAGCCCTCACAGCTACAGTCACTACCCACTATATTATTGTGTCAGCTCTGGTCACATGCCACCACTTGTCTAGTTGGTGAAAATAAAATAAAAAAAATTATTTTTCATTTTTTATTAAAGGGAAACGAAAAAGGTAAGTTGGAACAGTGATATGTAAATATAATCTCTTAAAATAAAGGTAAACTTGTTTCTTAGTTTATTTGATAATATAGGTAGCAAGAGTAGCGAGTGGT